ACTCACTCTCTCTAGCCACATCTAATAATAAATATCTAATTGATGATAGGCATTTGAGTATAACATATCAAGCCTTACGTGAGCAGCTTTTGGGGTACAGGGTATCTGCTTGTCTTGCCTAGCACACACATTCTCTTTCGTTTGCTTTTTCTTTTCATTTTTCTCGATAACAATTTTTTAACTGCCCTTGCTTTCTTATTTAAGACTTTATCACTTTTTTTTAATTTTCGAAAGAAATATGCGATTGCAAGAACTTACATAAAACAATTTATACACTTTTTATTTTACATCCCGTTGATATGGCCACAGTAAGCTAGCCTAAAGACAATATTTGATTCCGTCTTACAAGCCACTCGTTATTTCAAGCCCAACTCGTCTATGTTTCTTACCTTCCTTTGACTATTAACTTATTTAAGAATCAAGCCAATTAAGAACCATTGTTTTTGTATTTTGGGCAGATGTTTAGCAACATAAATTTTCTTAAAAAAGTATGCACATGTTTTCTTGTTGCTTCGATTGTAAAAATCGTAGCACGTCTTGCTTTACGGCTCAGTTTTGAAATGATTGTTATTCAGTTCTCATACACTTGGTGAACATTACAGGTATTACAAATATATTCTAAAATGTCGAAGGCAAAGGTTTGTAAAAATAAAATAAATACATAAAATATTTAACTAATAGTTCCTTTTTCTATGGCAAGCAGCCCGCTGCAATGGTGAGTACTAGTCTATGTATTTAGACATCGTTTTAATATTATTATGATCTTTTTGTTCTGTTCGTCTTGTAATACCTATACGGTATCTAGTCGGGTAAGCCGCAGCCCAAAATCAAGTTTCCCATTCATGATACTCATTTGAAAAAGTCACTGTCCCATGTGAAGACTGCTTGCATTTTGGCATTGTTGGCCCCATTTTGTTTCTATATGTTGCATAATTTGCCGCGAAAAATGAAATATAAGAAATTTTATTCGAGCTATGATCCGTTGGATGCCTTTGATCGCATGCAAAGCGGCGGTTATTTGAGCTCATGCCCCAAAGAGTCTAAATCGGATAAAAAGGATGATAAAAAGGATGACAAGAAGAAGAAATAAGTATCGATTTCTTGACTATGTGAGGAACAAATGAAACAATTCAAACGGGGCGCAAAATATGAAACTTAACAAAAATTTACACAATGCATCAATGGAAAGGAAATCCACAACGCAAATGAATTCTAAGAAATTGTAAACTCAGCAAAACTATGAATACAATTTTAACCCAAACACACACGCACACACACTGGTACGCACACTGGTACACACGCACAGATATCTTATAAATGGAGCATTGCAAAAACTTGATGCCGTGTCTTAAGTTATGTGTAGCACATCCTTTGCTGCCTCGTAAATCGCACCGGACAGCTGCCGCTCACAGCCGTGTGTACTGTCTGCTATTGATGGCCAATAAATACTAAGGCCACCTTCTGAATGGGCAGGGGTTGAGGTGTTTTTTCTTGTTTCGAAAACTTGCAACCGCTATGCAAGTGGCAAGTTCTGCTCTTGTCCTGCTGTCATCCTGCTGCCTCCTTGTCAGGCATCTGACACTTGTCCTTTGACTGTTTGCCATGTTGACCGGTTGGTTGGTCTGCCTGCTTGTGCGGAAAAATGATTACAACATTCTTATGCATTTAGAAAGTGTGTAAATACTGCAAAACTTATCAACGCATGTGGTGAAAGCATAAAACTGCTTTACTTAGTCGTTATTTCCTAGTCCTTTATATCAACACAATAATTTAAAGCTCAAGTCTTGCAAATAGTGAATATTTTTGTTAAAGTTTGAGAAATAGTTTCGAGTCATCTTCGTCGCCATCAATTGCTTAAGTCAATTCTGGTCAACAATCGTAGATTGAGAATTTTTCTGTTGCAATCACTTTTAATTGCTTTTCAATTTTCGAGTTTTGTTCTAGGAAAAAAATACATTTGGCCTGCATTTTATGGCTTTCGGGAGTCCGAAAACTTCGCACGTTTCCATTCAGACATTTCTTGGAAGCCTTTATGCCAGCTCTTTTGATTGGCATTTTCTAGCCCAATTTAATGCTTCGGTTACATTCGTATCGAATACTCAAGTCTCTTAAAAAAGAATTGGTGTGAAAGGGATTATAGAATTGTGAATATGTTTGCTGCAGCAAGAAAATGACAGATTAATATGTGATTACAATCATATTTACTTGTTGTCTGACTTTAGTTATATATAGTTCCTATCGAGGTGGATATATATATATAGTAAATATTTTGTATATCCATGTATATATAGGTACAAACTAAAGAAACAGCGTATTTGCATAATCAAATGTATTATAACTTCTATAAAGGTTATTTACTACTTTAGATCTGATTATAACAGCATTTTATTCCAACTTTGGAATACTTATAGAGCATCTACTAAGCTTTAAATTTTGCTTTCCATAATTATTCCTTTCTGGCACGCTTCACTTAAGAAATGTCTCAACTATTTCCTAGTTTAGGTTGTGCCCCTTTTCAATCCAGGGCCTATTAAATTTCCGTTAGGCCCATTTGTTCCGCTCGTTACCTCGGGTTTAGAATTTCCATCTGGCAATTAGATTACCAGTTAAATGCTTGACGTTTTTTGGCACTGCTGACCATTCAACTTTGACCGGACTAACAGATTTTTAAAACCAAATTCCATGCGTTCTTTTACTTTTGGCCAACTCTTGGCTGTTAGGCGTGCATTGAACCTAGCTCAAATCGAGTAGAGAAGGGCGGGAGACAAGCTCAATATGTTGCATGCCATGTGGCATTGAAGGCGATTAGAGGCACGGCAACGCCTTATATAAAAGCTCTGACAAATCGCATTGAATACTTGGGGGGCGTTTTCTTAGCTCTCATGCCGCCAGCTGCTTGGGCAAACAACTTTTTCGCCTAGCCTAGCCAAACAAATCGAATCAAATTTAAGTGGAATTTTGAACTTTTAAGGGTTTCTAGATACGCACATCTTTGAATTTATGCCAGCTTGGGTTAATATTTGAATAGTTATCTCATAAAGATGGCGCTTACACAGAACTTTACGATATTCAATTTACGATAACGCCTGCCAAACACAATTGTACATTGTGCGGCATAAAGATAATAAACAGCATATACAGAAAATAAATATATAACACATAATGTGTAATAAAATATGATTTATTGTATTTTCGTCTGTCAGATTGCTTGTCTGCTTTGCCTCAGACATCAAATATTGCATGTAGCCTTTGTTTTTATATGCGACTCAAATATATTTCAGTTTAAATAATGGCATTATCAGCTATTTAGCATTAGATGCCCTTAAAGATCTACTAATTAGTTGTAGGAGCGATATTTTGTATAAAATAAAAAATTTTATTACTATTAGATTATTTTTATATGTACGTTATTATGTCTTATTATATAGGATTAATCGGACCTTTACATAAATTAAATATAATTTACTGGTTTTGGCGATCTTTCCATATTAGAAATATCGAGTTGTCTGGCTCCAATCTAATTAAGTATACTATAAACAAGACTTGTGCCTAATAAGAAAATTATAAAAATTAATAAAAAAAAAAAATTGAAAATAAATAATAAATCCAGAATTAGAGTTCGATGAGGATATTTAAGAAAAATAAATATATGTGTTTGATACATTAAACATATTTGTATATAATACAGTTCTATCAGGATAGATATCGAGATGCCTTTCCAATAAGTTCTGGTTGTTAAGGCCACCAACTTGCTTCTATTATATATATATTATTATATATCTATTATATCTATGTTCTATTGATGATTTTTCACCTATTTGCTGCAGGCAGCACATTTAATAAATATAAATGAGCATTGCTTGCTTTTTGGCAGCCACTGTGTAAATATGCTGTCTCTACCGGAGACAGCGTTGGCTACTCAAGAAGGCAGCACTTGAAACTCATCTGTTTGTTAAGTGCACAAGTGTTGGGCAGTCGACCACGCCCCCATCTCAAAACAGATTTGTTAATTGTGAGTTATTGATATGCCACGTGCCTGCGTGGGCGGTTAGAGCTTCTGACACGCCCACCTGCCTGAGACACCATACCGTCGTAATTATAAATTTCCAACAGCTATAAAGTTTTGTATGCGCGTGGGCATTTTCTTAAATTTTAATTGAATTTTAAATATGCTTGGCCAGGCTATTTACATGGAGTTTGGTAGAAGAAGACGTTAAGTCTCTGGGCGGCATATTTAATTTTTAGAGTAGATGCCTATGAATTGAAATGTTGGCTAAACATTTTTTGGTAGACAAGCTGCCATCCAATTTGTATTTATTATTTTTATGCAATCCTTGTTCTTATAACTTTAGGTTGTCGAGTGATTAGCTTAAATATGATAATTAAATTGGCATGATGCTGCTCGAGTTGAATTGTAACTGTTGTAAGTGTAACTGAAATGAATATTTAACTAACTTGTTATGTGTTTTCGTCCTTTCACCCTAACGTCGATTTCTTATCCTGTCTGTGTCTTCTCGCCGGAAATTTCTCACGGCTTTCTGACAAACAAGAGTTTAGTTTATGTCTGGTCTAATATATAATTGCATATTGGATATATGTATATCTTGAAAAACATAATAGTTGGCTATACAAAAGAAGATGTTTCGACCGATTCTTTATATAATATATGGTGATATACAATATAATATAATACCAGATTGTGAGGAGCAAAGCTCAGAGTAATTGTAACTGTGTAAAAGAGTAACTGCCTGCAGCAGAAAGACGGACTTATGCAAAGTTTCAAGTCGATGGCTTTACAAACTGAGTTCGCATGAAAAAGGACAGACGAATAGACGAAAAGATGGATAGACAGACATAATTCAGACATGGCAGTATTATCGCTGATCTAGAGTATATATACTTTATGGAGTATTAGTTGTCTCTGTCTATACGCTGGAAATTTCATAACAATTTAAAATACCTTCTCCAAGGGTATACAAGTGTTGGTGCCACATGTAGCGTCCATGGCTTTCGTTATATTTATTCAAATTTCCAGTCGCTATAAAGATTGGCCTGTTTTGCTGGGTAGTCGAATGACACCATGATTTAATAGACTCTCTGCCGGCTTCAGTTGTTTGACCATAAAGCTAAGAATTTAATTTTGCATGCAACGCCCACAGAAATTGTTTTTTCAGAATCGCTGCCACGCATTGAATTCCATACTGACTGCAATTTCCGTTGAGAGAATGCGTGGCCAAACATGACTCAATCTCAGCCGCCGCTAGAAAATGGCTAGAAATTGGACAGCAAGCGCACGCTTTGAGGCAAGAGGCCAAAAGTTGCCATTGGCAACAGTTTTATTATTTGTTTGTCTCCCCGAGACTGAAATAATCCATAAATTTGGCTAGTGACAAAGTCCGTCTGTGCACAACACATACACGTTTAATGCGGCTCAATGAAGCTGAAAGTGACAACATATTTCAGTTCGAAATTATTTATGTGTTTTTATTTGTGTAGAAATAGGGCTGCAGTGAAATATTACCTATTTGCAAAAGTAAAACACATATTTGCATACATTTGAGAGAGTAATTTGTTTTGCATTCGGCATATACGTTTATTTATTAATTATTTTTTGTTTTGCTCAAAAGAAGCTTAACTTAACTTAATTAACTAAAAAACAAACAAAGCATATTTAAAAAAATTATTTGTTCACGCACTGTTAATCCTTTCGTTAATCTTATTTGAATTTATAGTCTTTACCATATCAAAAATTGCTGTTTTAATTTATTTATATATTTTTTCATTTAAATAAGTTGACATATCCCTGAGCTGGGAGCGTTGACAGCCTTTTGGTTCAGTGCCTGCTTTGCCAGGCTGTTGTCATGTGAATGAATCCACCCTCAGCTGCTCCTCAAACTTTTTTTCTTGCATTGCTTCAAGTTACTTTTAGCACATTTGTCTGAAAAATTGGCCAGATTTCGCTAAATGCTTATGTCTTCGTCTGTGAAGCTGTGGCAACGCCTCTTTATTTCTGCACGACATACGGTCTTATAATGTTGTTAACCCAACGATTGATTGAACACTTAAAAATGTGCGTGTATCTGTGTCTTCTTTTTACTTGCCACCGTCTGAGCCATTATGCGAGTGTCTGGTATAATTAGATAAATGTGGGACGAATAAACTCTAGAAATTGTCGTACTACTACATTTTATTCAAATTTAATCTTTCACTCAAATGGTATTAAACCAAATTTTTATTGCTTAAAATACAAATATATTTCAATTAAAAAAAAAAATTAAGAAGTAAATAAATAAACATAAATAATAATAGCTGAGCGATTGTATAAAACTTACGTTCATTAAATAAAATAAGAAATTATAATTGAAATATATATATTTACTAAATATATATTAAGTAGAAATCAGGCAAAAGCTGCAATATTCCTTTGTACCAAAATCAATGTGATGCAGTTTATGAGAATTGAATCCCTCGTGTAGATGTGTTTTGTGTTCTTATGCTGTGAATTGGAATTGTTGTAGATTTCTAAGTTGGAACAAATAGGTTCAAAGGTCATGTTGAGCTCCGAGCATATTGTGCTGTGACTGGTGCTACTTTGTACATTTACCAAAGATTTTGTCAGCTAACAAAAAAAAAAAAAAAAAAAAACTAATACATTTAAATGCATAGCCACATACAATGACATCTTAAATACACTTTCAGTGTAATGTGCATGTGCGTCGGTGCATGTTTGTTTTTTGTTTGTTTGCGTTTGTGTATGTTGTTCTGCTTTATGGGCCTTTGCAAACGCAGCATCACATCGCGTCGCATCGCAATTTGCCAAGGGGTTCATTAGACTTTCAACTTTTGTTTTCTCTGTGCCGCCACGACACGTCAAAGCCAATGTGCGAAATATATGCACAAACTGTAGACAAAGATGTGTGTGCGTGTGTGCATGTGTGCATGTGTGTGTGTCTGTAAAAACATGCAGAGTGAGGAGTGGCATAAAGAGCTGCTGACTGCGAGTGTGGCAAAAATGGCACATAGCACACAAAAGTACCCAAAGTAAAAAGCAAAACGACAGCAAACGTACCACATGCCGCATGCCGCATTCCGCACCAGGCTCAGCACTGTGCCACAGTCTATGCATAAAGCCTGTAAGCTGCCAACGCTTGGCCATACAGAATAAGAATTGGGGCTTGTGGATAACCGCATTAAAGGCAAACGCTGGCACAAAACCTGTTCCCTTAGGCTTAATAGAATATTTGTACCGGGCCGCAGCTGCTGATGCTGCGCAAGGTCAGCTTCGATTAGCGCAGAAAGTGTTGCCAGCATTCGGGCGCAGACACTTTTATGCCATTCACAGCCATACTTATTCATTAGGCCAACGTCTAAAAGCCGGCCATAACATTTGCACGCGCCAAAACTTTATTTTTACTGCCTATTTCCGACGGCTATCCTAATTGCGCGAAAAGGCGTTAACGGCATTTACGGAGTAAATAGCTAACAACTTGTGGCGTCTTTTTTTTGCAACCCATTCCAGACTAATGCGAAAGTGGAAGATAGAAGAGAGAAATGGCAATTAAAATACTTGCATGATAGCGATAGGTATTCAAGTAGTTTTATCACAAATATTTGAGATATATTGTTGAAACTATCTGTAAATGATAAGTAAACCTTGAAATTTTATCAAAAATATATTAATAGTTTGATTTAAACATTATTTATGTACTTTAAACTTAGAATATAAATGTGAATTCAAAAGGAGTTTCATAAATGTCATCATCTGCCTACTTCTTAAATAGCTGAACGCCTTTCTATGCGTTTTTAATGCTTGAAAGGCATCTACTTGCTCTTCTCACCTAGTTGTACACTAATTTTTGCTACTTTAAACCTATATGTGTGCTTGTATATGTATGAATGGATTCGTTAGCATCAGTTTTCTCCTCTTCCCTTTACTGCATTTACTTTAACTGCAACAATATTTGATATTTTCCACCGGTTGGCTGAGTGCTCCTTGCTTCCACTCGTTTCTTTACAACGTTCGCACAAATTAACATATTGTGTTTTTGCAATTTGCTGAACAAAAAATCAATTAACTTATTAATTGACCAGCTGCTATAGCTGTGAGTTCCCTGGTTATTTGCGGTTGTGTGCATGTGTGTGAGAGTGTGTTCTTGAGTGTTCTTCCTTTACTGAAATTCGTATTCACCGCGTCACGCAGCGACACAAATTAAATTTTTTCTGAAGTTGCCGCAAACTCAAGGCCAAAGGCAGCCATTCTTTCTCTTTAATGACAGCGCCCCATTTGTTGCCCTTTCCAAGCGATGTCTAAAGCTGTGCGCACACATACTTAAATTATTTACCAATAGCTTCGTGTGGGCAATTGCTATTGTCCAGCCAATCTCTCGTTGTCTTGCTTGATTGCGACTTATGACTACTTTTCTACTTGAACTTGACCAACGCACAAAGGACTTCAAATGCAATTTGCTTCTTAACATGGTAACATTGCATGCGAGGGGAGCGTGAGGAGATTTGTGAGTGCTTCCTTGTTAATCAATACCTAAAGTATACCTTGAGAATAATTAATTAATTTTATTATATATTTTATATTCATACATTTTCTCATAAATTGTATATTTATAGAATTTGGTGTGCTTAATCAACCTTTGAAATGTTTTGCTAAATTTTATATTTTTTCTTCACATCTTTTGTCTGCTTATGTTAATATAATAGAAATGTTTTGGCTAATTAAGGAATTAAAATAAGTACATAGTTCATTGTGCATATTATTTATACAGTTTCTTTCATACTAGACACATTTAGATTAAAATTGAAACGTTTATAAAATTCTTTCCGATTATTTATTATACAACCCGTGACTGGCTAAGGTTAAGTCAAGGTTAAGGTTAACTATACTTTGGCTAGTTTGCGGCTTATAACTGGCAAACTTACCCTCTAAGCTCTCGTACCCCCTTTCATCAGTCTTAGCCCGAGTTTTGCAGTTTCGACAGCCAATTGATTTTTGTTTGTTAACTTGCATGCACGCAAATCGTTGAGCCTGTGGCAAGAAGCACTTCCTGGTAGCCTAGGATCCATTTAGCCTTTGTGCATACACACACACACACACTCACATTCACACACATATTCTGCTCTCGCTTTTATGCCTCTACCACAGCCATTGATGACTTTTAGTTCTCTGAGCATGCTGTATTCATTGTCAAGTTCACGTTGGCTGGCCACTTGACTCAAGCATTTCAGTTATGGAACAGCCAATCGATAAAAAACTATTTGCAGCATGTCATGCAGGTCTTTTTTAAGAAAAACAAAAAACGTAACGAAAAGGATGCTTGGAAAATATATATTAAGAGTTTCGATATATCCGTTATAAAGCACAAGCTTACAAGATTGTAAAGGTCATTATTTAAAAAAGAAAAATATATGTATTTTAAAATTATGGTCAATATTTTGAAGTTATAAAAGTCTGCACTCAATTATTAAATTCGTACTAAGGTTAATTATGTCAGACTGCAAGAACATTTATAGACATTTTTCGTTTTGTTTTTTCCTGAACACGCGCCAAAACTAAGACCACACAGTGTAGCCCCGGCACGCCTCTACGATTCCCACTTAATTGCAGTGTCCATAAAATGTGCTCAGTTGTCGGTGTTGTCGCTGTTGTTGTTGTTGTTGTTGTTGCACTTGTGGCCTCTCTTTCGCAGGAGTCGTGCACATGTGATTGCATTAATTACGCCCCTGACACGCCCACAAGACAGAGAAAATGCTACCTTCCGAACTTGTTTTTGGCTTTCAAAGTATTTTGTTGATCTGCAACGCACGTTGCACGTTTGTAGTTCTCGAGTTTTAAATTGATTTTGACCGCTGCACAAAAACTTTCCACTTGTTGTTGCACGTGGCACTGAAACCGCAATAGTGCTCCACATATGTGTTGTTATTTTTTTTTCTAAAGGTAAATATAGACACGTGCGGCAAGTAAAAATTGGTTATTCAAGTTTAATGTGTCTTATGAAATCTAAAAGAGCTCTGCGTGTTGAATTATCTGCTAAACTAAAGAGAAAAAACTAAAGTTTAAAATTTTGAGAAACAACAATGATTTCTTATATGAAAATATGCCCAAATTTATTCATAATTATATGAGCGTGCGCCCCAGAACTAACAGGCAGATTACCTTTTGTAATTGCAATTTATATTAAAATATTCCTTGCTTATAGTAGCCTAATTCGTTATATTAGCTTAATTTTCGTATTTAAGACACATTGAAATGTCATTCAAATATATTTGTTTAAATCTTGGTCTGTTCCGGGCAGAGCGCCTGCGTCGGCAGCACTTGGAGCAGCGTAGCCGGCAAAATGTGCTTTAACAGCAGCAACAACAACAAAAATAGCATTTTTGCCGACTAGTTCAAGTTCAATGCAAAAACCTACCGCAACAAAACAAAAGCTAACAGCGCCTCTTTCTATTGCCTAACAGCAATTGTAACAGCGCTGTAACGCTCGCTCGCTCATTCTCTCTCCCTCTGCTGTAAGCAAGCGATGCTGCTAACGCCAACGCATATGCATATTAACAGCCCTTACAGCTGTAAAAAGACGAAACTGCTGCCGCTAACAGTACAGTGCGTAACATAATCGTTCTCGGTCGGGACGCCGCGAAGTCAATGCCGACGAGGACTTGGCCGCTGCCGTTTAGTCTGTCGCGACAACTCAAACGATTCGGAAGCGAGGTGCTCAAGTGCTGTTATAGTACGGATCAGAACCGAAATCAGATTTCGATTGTCCATAAATCAAACATTGCATATTGTGTTTGCAAATTGATAGGTTTGCGTGCGAATTGTGCGAAGCGTGTAAAATACCAAATAAATTCAAATTTTATGTTTAAAATATGTGTTAAAATTTGCTTCATTAATATATAGGACTAACATTACAAATATTTTAACTTAAAAAACAATCTTAAAATACAAATTTTTATAATTTTTCTCATAAAAACAAATGAAAAATTTGCAATTTAAATATAAAAAAAAATAAAATAGTAGTTAAAACATTAAAACATTCTTAAGATATTAACTCAACTTTTTAAAAGCTCAAGAAATATTAAAGATTTATCAGAAATAAAATATTATTAGTTAAAAAAAAATAACAAATTACAGTGCTTAATGGTTTAAAAATAATATATAAACTTAAAGGTAAATTAAAAAAGTAATATATATGAATGGTGGTTTATAAACAATATTTATCTACGAACACCGCTGGAAAAAGTTTAAAAATAAAAGTTCACAAATTTTTCAATTATAATAATATTTAATTATTTGTGTAAATTGAATAAATACCAACTTTAAAGTTGGGGCTATCGTTGCGCAAATTTGAAGAGTAAATTGAACGTCTTTACGGCATGGCTCAATCGATTTTTTAAGCCTCTGCAATATAGCCATCAATTTGTTGTGATCCACTAAATTGAATTGAATAACGATTGATTGTTTTGCGTTGTCAGTTGGCAAACAAAACGAATTAAGTGGATCACACAGCTGCAAAAACCATATCAAATAAATGGTGTGAAATATGTTGCCTTCCGGCAGCGAGTATAGTTTGCTTTACAAAGAACTCGTGGCGTGGGTGTTCAGCAATATTGTAGCTAATATTTGGCTATTGTCTATTTTTAGAAGTGAATCGTGCAAAATAACAACTTGTGTTACACGGCGTATGCGCAATTTTTGTAGCTGAACAAAACATGCAGCCATTTACAGAACATGGAATTACTATAAAATCACAAAAATGAACAAACTAAAACTATTTTAGTAACTTGTTAAATATATGCGAAATAGAGCTTTTCAATTGTAGCTGCTTAAAATAGCTCCAAGCCAATAGGTACAGAGCGAAACACAGAAGGCAACAAAAAAAAAAAAGTAAAAAAAAGGCAGTCGCCCAAAAACTTAAAAGTTTGCCCATGCATAAAACTTGCCAGTCAAATTGCGCTTTGCATGTTAAATCATGTGAAAAACTAGTTATTCCAAGTGCAGAACTCAAAAAAAAATATGTGAGAAAAGAAAAAGAGCTCAAATCAAGAAGCTGCCACGCAGAACAATGCTGCTGCTAGAACAAAAAAATATCTGTAGAATTTAACCCTAACGAAAAGTGAAAGGAAAGGACAAACGAGTGCGAAACCCATTTGAAAAGCAACTTAAGCGTGTAACTGCAACTGTCAGCAGCAGCAACAGCTGAAGAGAAATATCAAAAAAAAAAAAAAAATACAATACTTGGTAAGTGAAAATCTCAAAATTCATGCATCTCACGATATTTTTCAATTAATTTTTGCACAATTTATGAACTTGAGATCCTTCAATTTGCTGTGGCTTACGTGTAGATGCGAAAAGCTGCCACATGATTTTCAATTGCTTCGGCGAACATTTCGAGTTCATTTTGTCACACAAAATGTGAATTTTGTCTGCCTGCCGCTCGTACAGCAAACAATGACCCTTGGTGAGCTGAGGTGATGTACCTGCGGCAGGTGCAACTTCTTTCGAATTGCTGTTCGTGTTTGGATTAGCAAATTCTGTTGCTATTTGCGTAACAACGTAAGGACAAAAAGTCAGGACAAGCGGCATTCATTGGTTCATTAAAACCTCTTCGTTTGCTACCAAATCTTTCTGCTTACGTTTGTTAATACCCTGTTTTCGTATGCAAGCATGGGGCATATTGGTTTTGTGCTAAGTCTGTCTGTCTGCCACAAGGCTGGAATTTAATGGGGGTTGGAAGGTTGAAAGGCGTAAGACTTTGGTGTAAAAATAGCGCCTTGAGAATATAAAAAGGCAATAAAGATATTGTACCTTAGTATTATTATCCATTGAATATTTTCAATTTTCTTTTAATATATTTATAAGGTCGAAAATTTGTTATAACGAATTTACTTGCCAAATTTTTTAATTTTGCCTTCAACCTTAAGTCAACAGATTAAGATGCGTTAAATATTGCAATATTTGAAAGAACTATCTCGGATTATAATACATTATTTTGATTATTATCAAATGAACTTTCCTTTGCAATCTAGTCTTTAGTCATGCTGGAACATTTTAACTGTAGACAAAATTCTAGCTAGAGTTAAGAAAATATATCCAACACAAGAAATAAATTAGAACATTTGTAAAAAATATTTTCGAATTTTTTAAAACATTTTAATTGACCCACTTTGTACACACTTTAATGGCTTCAAAGCTCTTCGTCCTTATCTAACACTTTCTTTCAGAACTCAACTAATAATATTCATTTCTGCCCTGTAAGGGTATGTGGTCTTAAGCAACCACTTACGCTTATAACCAATTGCATAAGAAGCTTGCGCTTAGAAATTTGAGGTAAAAGGAAAAATTCCGGGAATTTGCTACAATCGAGCCGCATGCGACTTTTCTGAGAATTCTATAAAAAGCTTGTATTTTCTTCTACGCTGCCTTTGAAAAATTCATTAAGTGCTTAACACAAATTAAGACATTTAAGATTTATAGCTGCTTAAGTATCAGGCTCCACTGTTAGGTCAAGTTGAAAAAAAAAATCTTAATAGAGCTGCAATGAAAAAATAAATCAGACTTATGCCTATTTCGAAGTGATTTCAACTGAAAGCAATTCGAAACCGCAACGCGCACATTTCCGGCAATTTCCTGGCCATGCCAGGCTTGACAGTGAGCGTCCGCCCAGCTGCTGCTCCTGCGGCTGCCTCCACCCACAGCTTGATTTAGGCATTATCGCTGGCATCATCGGGTGTTCAGTGGATAAAACCAAATGTAGCGTGGATGACAAACATTGTTAACTTAGCTAGTTGCTACCATTCACACTCTCTAATTGGATTTCCATCACAATTCTCTCGAGTAATGATTTTAATGAAGCTCGTTCAGTTTCCACTTATTCGCACCCCCTGCCAATGGGCCGACTTGCTTCCAGTAATTGACTACTCATTCATTATAGATTGCGGTACACAATTTTTGCGCATTTCCTCGGGCAGCGAAATCAAATTGCCGTCGTTTCCGTGAATCGAGATGCTTGTTTTAATTTTCTCAAACAAATTCTAATTAATTTTCAACATAGCTTCGATTTTAATTATGCAATTAAATTCGGAGCTTATTTTTGGAGGAAGTAGCTTTAACCGGTCAAGGTGGAAAATACACAGAGGACGGGAGCAGATTATTAAAGATTATTATAATAAAGGAATATATGTGAAGCCGAATAATGAACTTCCGTTTAATAAACCATTGACCCGAACTTTCTGTCCAAGAGCAAAACGAAAACTAGATTATAATAAACAAAAATAGTTGCAAATTTAAGAAACATATTCATTAAGTTCTTATATAAGTCTTTTTAAACATGTTTGAAGCAAGTCGAAAATAATTTAAAACTTAACACAAAAAATCGCGGAATCGCGTCTCAAATGATTTTTCGTATCGATCCTTGGAAATGAATTTGAGCGCGAAACGATACCCGCCAAATCTTTGAGCCCCATTTCCGCTAAATAAGCTAAGGGATTCACTTTCCAAAAAGTGGGAAACACTCCTCGAATGCATTTGAACAAAGACCTTTGAAAATAAGTTTGAGGTTGATATCCGATCAGTAGGGTACCTAAAGTAACAGCTTCCTAGCTCTTAGAGTTTGGGCTGTGCATTGATCACCAATCAGTCAAGCAGTCAGTGAGACAAATAGTTTTATATATGTAGGTTATATTTTATTTCAACTTATGTATTTTTCGTATCGCAATGTTTTGATGCTATATGGAAATAGACTTTGCAAATATAATTCTGCTTAGCAGAAGCACACTGCTGAGCAGAAAGGCTGGGGTTCGAGACCCTAGAACACGAATGACAGAATATTTTCATGGCAAATGCATAATGATGGGCTGACGATTCGGTCTGGGCGATTGCAAATATTTATAAGACTTATATTCGATTTAATTGAGTTGCATATGCACTAACAGTTTCATCTCTTATAAACCGGAATTAAAAGTTAGTAAATAATATACTTTAATGTGAGGGTGCTGCAACTCCGACAAGGAATGTCATATTATAGCATACTTTTGGGCACAGCGAAGCGATATTCAGCCACAAAATAGTCAAGCTGGGCCGCTGCAGAGCAAAAGCAAATGTCTTTTATTGCCACTGAAAACCCGGCCGAGCGAACGGAAGCGGAAATGCGTTGTTATGGCTGCACTGGCACATATTGACTTGTGTGGCTGCCATAGACTTGGGAGTGCTCAGCCTCACAAAGCTGGCCCTTTTATTGGGCTGCTTTGCTTCTTTTTTGTCAGCTTACAAAAATATTTTTCAGTAAATTTATCTTACTGCCCCACAACCCAAAGAACACTCCACAGGCAACAACGACAGCGGTGCAACAGCTCTGAGTGCGGTGTGTATTGTGGAAGAGGGCGTCATTAGATGCCAAAGGACAGAACAGTGCCCAACAAGTGCCCTAAACTCAGGTTAAGCATTGCTTCGCTTTGGCTTTGCCACACTCGGCGAGTGGCTTTTGCAATCGAGTGAGTGTAATATTAAAAATTCCACAAGTGCAGCAAAGCTTGTATCGCAGGTACAATTTCCTGTTGGCGTTACGATTTGCTGGCATTTTCCATAAAGTGTATTCCTTTACGCTTGTATAAGCTGGTTGTCAATTGTTTTTTTTTTTTTTTTTTTGTTTTTTTATGTGAAAAGAACAACTTTAAGATCGATTGAAATCAAATAAATATTTTGTTTTCATTTAAATTGAATGTAGATATGATAAGCATCAAGAAGAATACGAAATTTTAAAAATTAAATAATTTATTTAAATTTAAGATTAAAATATTTTATATTTATAATTTCCTAATTTTAGATATTTTAAATATTTTAAGTAAGCAGACGTTTTTTTATTTTTATTAAGATTACTTTTAATCCAGCAGAAATAAATTTAGCAAATTTATACATTTATTCCTGAAAAGTAGATAGTCTTACCCCTTTTTATCTCATGCTTATATATGTATATTTTTGATGAAACTAAGTTGTTTTTATATGCATTTATAATCTAGAATTATTTATGCATCTAAAAAAAAGTACACATCATATATTTTTAGTACATCGTATGTGTTTAGTATTCAAAGTTTTTTGCTTCCCTGGTCTCTTTTAACTCTTTTACCTGTTAAGCTACTTTTAGCTTTTTTTTTTTTGGCTTATAAATGTGTTAGGCTAGAATAACATTTTCATACCAATTTACTTGAGGCTGTTGCATATTTCTGTCGTAAATTATGCGCATGGGAGAAGTTTATGTGCCTATGCATAGGCCCCAAGGAGGGCAATACAAATGTATCGTTGTGATTTGCATATATTTTGCATGGTAATTGTGGGTGTGATACGATCTACTCTAGCACGTTCGCCCGTTTTCCTTTAACAACCGCTACTGTGGGCTCACCTGTGTACCTTAATCTATTCTAATTATTCGCACCCGTTCCCATTTGGACGATGTGACTTTTGGTCTGGGCTTATTTGGTTCCATTCAACCGAATCCAACGATTCACAGTTCAAAGGCCATCGATTTATCATATTTAGTTGCTCTTCTTCTTGGCTGTTTGTATAATGACCCAAATAAACATTCATTTTTTTGTGCTATGGCCGAAGTCCTTAGCCAGAGTGCCTCAGTTTATGCCATGTCTTGCTGCTACTCGCATATCAATGAGCCCGTCTTTGGAACTGTGTATGTGGACGTCTCTAGAGCAGCAGGGCATATGCAGTTATATATTCAACTGCAATTTTTTGTTTCGTTTATTATGCTTAAATTCATTCATACTTTTCGCTAAGAATTTAATGCCAGAAGCTCAAAGTTTAATACAATTTTTATATGTTACATCTTATTTTAGACCTTCATATGTATTATCTTCTCTGACTTAGATGTTCACAGTGTTCTTTTGATGTGGCTTAAATTAGTATATTGACTATTCCGGAAACTATTTTAGTTCCTAAATAATGTCGTGTACTATTTGTCATTTGAGGTTTCCACCAATTATCCTTAATCAATTACACAAATTGTCTTCGACATTTACTTTGCAAGCCCTCTTAACGTTTCTTTATTTTTTCGCTGATGTTTTATTGACTCACTGGCGGTTTCTTTTACAAAATAAACACGTGTTTACTCAATTGTGTGCTTAGAATTCACACATCAATTAATTTGCTTGGCCATTGCGTGTTGCATTTAACAACGTGGCTTAAACGCGGCGTATACGTAATGCAATTGGACTGGCAACCGGACTGGCAATTCATATTTATTATTTATGGCATAGCCATCGCGTTGCCTATGTTTGCCTTGGATCAATGGCAGCTACTTGGGCTTTGATCCTTTTGCAGGTCGTGTCCGATAGGCTTTAACCTTTGACTCGGCTTTAATTCTAACTTTTCGTCATACTCTGCCCGAGATTTTGTCTGCAATTCTGGTTCTATTTCTCACTGAGTCAGACAATTCTGTGGAATGCATCAGGGCTAAGCGATATTTGCGCTATGCATTTATTAAGCATTCTTTTATTTTTTGTTAGCAAAACTTAATTTGCATGACTGACAGTTGGGTCCTCTAGCATCAATTAGGTTTGCTGCAAGTGCGTTGTGCAACATGCAATATGCAAAAAAAGCTGGCAACTTAAATAATAAAAAATAGGTGGTTGGCAAGTGGGCGTGGCACAGCAGCATGTGCCAAGCTCAGCTGGCCAAAGAGGTCAACGGAAAGAGGTCAACGGAAATAACAAATTCACAGCAAAAGTTACAACCCTGCAGGAATAATATGGCCGGTTATAGTCAGGGGCGTGGTCAGTGGGTGGTCAGGGGGCGGATATGGCAAATCAACTGCTTTATCAACCACAACAAATGTCAAAACAATTTCCGGCTGGCAACGTCGACGACATTGTGACGCAATTCTTGAGTCTTGGCAAAAATAAACGACATTTGCTAGCCATTTTCTTGACGGTAACTGAACCAAGAGCACATAAAGTCTACAAAGATATGGGCACTAGAGACACAAACGGTCCATAAATGTTTTCAAGACTATTATTGACTTTAAAATTAACTTCAAATGCTATTCGACTTGGAATTTACGATATGTACTTGAAGAACTTAACTGCAATTAGATTATACGTTTTAGGAGTATCGTATAGTTAGGTAAATATACGGTACATAATATATTTAAATTAAAATTGAATGATTTGACAGACAAACTTAAAGCTGTCTACAAAATTCTTTCACTAATATCCCAATATTAATATATTCTGCATATTACAACATATTTAGAAACATTTTTAGACAAGCTTAGCCCAAATATTTTCTTTTTCAATGAAAACTATTTTCACTTTTCACGTTTTATCTGAAATAATGAGCTTTTGTTCTTATAAACGAGGCAACCAATCAATTCAATTCATTTGACTAAACGAAGGGATACAACCAAAACCAAAACAATTCAAGGGTTGCAGTCCAATAATTGACAGAGCATTCAGAGCTGAGCTGACAGCAAATCAAGTGCTTTCAATTTGAATTCAATTAAATTGTTTTTTTGGGTAGAGAATGTCTAAAAACGTAAAAAATGAATTTTACATAGAAATTCAATGAATTTAGATGTGTGGCCGATCAGGAAAACAAATGAATAAAACGGCTCACCTGCCTGCCAATGGGTTGGTTTTGGTGCTAAGCCGGAATGGCATCAATAATTTTTAGACTTTTGACATAAGTTAGGGCGAACAAATGCATTTCAGTGGAAAAATAATTGAATATTTATTGTGATTGAATGCATTTCTACTAGATTTCACATCAATTTATTATCTAAAGTATTGTCTAAATAGCTAGTTTAAATGAAAATGCTAAAGCTAATAAAAGAGTGCAGAAGAGTTCATGAATTTGAACAGGTGTTTAAATAAAATAAATATCATGTGACAATCAAAACTATCTGCCAGAAAGTCCTGCAGTCAAGTTAATAAGGTTAAAAAATCAATTACAGTGTAAAAATATAATAAGATTTAAGCAGATACCTAAATCTGATTTTTAAATAAAAAATATTTCTAACGCTTAAGGAGGCAAAGAAGAAGGAGGATTAAAAAGACATATCTTATAGACCTGCCCAAACGCCGCCTTTAATTAAGAAAAATTAACATGAACATAAATATACACATTGTAAATATTTAAATTAAGCTATCTTTAACCAAAACTCACGCTGATTCGTTGCTAAGCAAAGAATTTTAACACCTAAAAAAAAACCAAGAAAGAAGAACTATCTTCGGCATGCTGAAGATCTAAACTCCCTTCATAATGCTCATAGTACTTTGTCCGAATTTAAGAACCAAAGGCAGCTATATGACATAGTGCTCCGATCTTGGTCAAGATATCTTCATAAACAAATATGTTTTTCATACAACAAAGATATAAAAACAGATAAACATAACTGGAGAATTTTCACCATTTTATTTTCCCAGTTGAGTGTGCACTGCTTTATGCCTAAGCCTGTGTATGTGCATGCAAATATTTTGCGGCAAGTGTGAGTTGCACTTAATGCCAAAAGTTACTTTCGCAGCAGAAGAGATAGCAAGAAACGGTTTTCAAAACGGAAACGGAAACTCCCGCAAATACATTAACACAGAGTCAGAGTCATCGTCAGAGTCAAGCAAACTTGGCAAAAGAAATTGGGGTAATTGCTGGCTGCACAGTCGCTTGGCAGAGCATTTATTGTGTGGCCCATGGGAACTTTAAATATTGGTATTGGTTTTTTAAATTTGTTGGCAAAAGTGTTAGGCAAATATTGAAATACGGAGTTAATAAATAAAATGAATGATTGAATAAAAAATCCAATTTATTTTCGCATTAAAGGAAGTCTCTAAGAAATATATATTCAGGATCAGCATCGACAGCCGCGTCGATTTAGTCATTCCGTTTATCCGTCGGTTCGCCAGCCTGTTTCTTTGCACAGGTCCTTCTTTCTATTACAGGGAGTACAGATATCGGAGCCGGCCGGTTCGAACTACAATGTCATAGCTGTCATTGGAATAATCGATCGAAAATTAGATGGTAGTTTCATGGCAAAATATACTATTTTCCAAGGTATTTTCATCAAACAAAGCATTTACAAGCTTTACTTTTCTCACAGATCTGCAAAGGGGAAAGTTCTAAAAGGGTATTACTTTGTCGCTATTTATGTATATAATATTCACATTCACTTAAATAGCCAATGACTCATTCAATCGAATTTATGGCTCAGTCATTAAATAATCAGTTTAACGATTTGTTGACTTTGTCCAGCTCGTCCACTTGAACAGCACATCTTAAGTTTATTGAACACTTAGAACGAAATGTGATCGTTAAATCCAAATACCCTGTAATGAAGGATATAATAAGGCATATGATATGCTTAAGAGGCTGCCAATTTTATAAGCTTATATATATATTTTTTTGTCAACTGTCCTTGTGCATTTTACCCTGAAAAGGTGAATGAACTCTAGAATAATATTTAATTTGTTCAAACTATTATATTTGTCAAAAATATTCCCCTGGCCATCACTTCAAAGGGTCAATCAGATGAAGGTATTCCTCTGGGGTTTTCTATTATAATTTGCATAAATATATTAATTAAAATTATGCAGATTACTTTCAATTAAGAGCCTCCAAAAACTAAAATGTGTTTGATAAAACTTTAAAATTGGTTTTCCAAAAAAAACCCTTTAATAAAAAAGAAGCAAATTGCGTTCTGCGGATCTTCTCCCAATTCCATACGCCAAAGGAGTCAAATGTTTGGCCATAAATTTTGTGGCTCTCATACAAGCTCATAAATTTAGGTTAGTAAACAAGGAACAAACACAAAAAAAAAAGAATACAAGCAAGAAAACAACAAAAACAAAGTAACCATCATAAAAGCAGCGGGTAAATCACATTTGCCGCTGTGGCTAAAAGTCTCGAGTGCATAAATTAAATTTAACGCTAAGGTGCAAAAGCAACAAATAAGAAAATACGAAAATTTATGCAAGATACAAAAATGTATACATATAAACATGGTGAAACGAAATCAATTTGCGACCGTTGAGGTATTACCCAAAGTTAAGCGGCAATTCCCAGAAGATGGCACTAGGCAAACAAAGTTATGGTTATCATATACATAACATATATGTGAATGTGTGTGTGCGTATATTTGTGGGTGTGTTTGGGCACCTGGCTAAAGGCGACAGCTAAACGATGTGCTGCCAGGACAAATGATTATGCTGCCTCAAGCGCATGTTGCTAAGGTTTTTCAGAGCAAGCTGCTTCAGCTGATCTGCTAAAAACAGGTGTATGACAAAATTATGATAGGCATAATGATACCCTTTATATGAGTGTGTTCGATAATATAAAGCTTTACTTCATAATTATATGTGTATGTTGTGTGTAAGATGAAATTATTGTATATACGAACTTTAGAAGATTTGCTTATGAGCGGAAAAGATAGAGTTTAACTAATGTTTAATAAAAGATAAACATGCATATTAAGATTCGTTTAAGATTCGCTCCACTTTTGTCTAGTCAATACCTTACGTGTAACGGATTCCAACGAAGGGATATGCATGGCAATATATATATTTAGCCATAAGCCGGAATCAAAAAAAGATACATTTTAGATCTTACATTACATTTAAAAAAAAAAAAACATATTAATGACTCTATATCTTTGACATTCAATATGCCTGTCAGCTTATCAGTCAAAAGTGTTAAATTCAAACTAATTGATTGAAAAGAAGAGCGGCTTTTCGCTGCTGACAGTTCAAAAGTGGCGTGAAAACTTGACATGGATATAATGTTAAATGCTTACACATATTTAAGCTACGTGCGCGCGGCATTATTGGGGTAAATGCGTCGTCATTTTGCCAAAAACTTCTAAATTATATCCTTGTCAATCACATTTGTTCTTATCATTGTGTCAACAGACATATCTTTGTGTGCTTGTGTGTAACATATTCATTTCCACAGCGGTGCGCACAGGGCGTATGCGTGACTTTATTGTCTTTTGCGCAAATTGTTTAGCATTAATGTGCGACATTTGCAATTTGATTAGCGCCAAGAACCAAGTACAAGGACAACAACACTTCTCACCCTCAGCCATTCCATGCCACACTCTTTGTGTGGCAACGTCTTCGTTATGGGTTTTATGGATTTCGTCTCGTCAAACTTCGTTTAGTTCCCGGCTAAGTTCCAGACGTCTTGCAGCGTAATGAATTGCCCAACAGTTGCTTATTATTTTTACACTTGTTTTTTCCTCCAGTTGCTTTCTATGTTCATGCATTTATTTGATTAATTTTCCCGACTAAAGCTGAAAAAGTTTTATTTCTAGCCTCGTCTGACCATAATTTTTATCATAATTATATTGTAATATCAATTAGAACGTTGACCAAAATCCTTAACTTGATCATGATTAATGGCCTTTAAGAAAAATCTCAAGGTTGCCAGGACCATTGCTTGTGCGCCTAATTAATGAGCTGCATATTTTCAAACAATGGCCAGCGCGCCTATTAATATGCCAGACAATGGGCCAGTTGGCCAGCGCCCAGAATAGCACGAAAGCACTTGAGCATGCCTAAGAAAATCTTAAATTAAAGATTCCCATTTAACTTGTAATTCGAGGGTAATCTTTAATTAAGCTTGCGCAGTCAAATATATTAGATATTTGATTTGCTTCAAATGAGCTAAGAATTAAATTCGTGTTGACAGTCGAGCGTTAGGGCATGAAATGCCGAAAAAATATTCATTTGTAAACTAGAGCTCATTTTATTTATAAGCTGCTGTTTCCCCACATGCTATGCATTAATTTGATAAATGAGAATGCTGGGACCTAGCCTTAAATTAAACGGACAAAGAGGAAGCAATCAAAAGACAAACCGGTAGAGAGGTATAAATATATATAAAAACATGCAATTATCTACAAGTATGAATAGCCTATTCGAATGGTTTGAAAGAAGACATGGAGGTATAACCGTCTTTTGAATAAGTGTTAGTAAATAAATATATAAAAAGAACGCTATTAGCAAGTATATACATATTAATTAACAATATAAATCATTGCTTTTAAAATTCCAATTTTTGTATTCAAACTTTTAAGAAGGCCTTAAAGTGATAGAAAAAAAGACAGATTTCCAACAGAAACGAACTATTTCCACACCACAATCATATTTGGTGAAATCAACAATCTGTAAATGAAAATGTAATTTTATAATTGTAAATAACAGATGTGTAGAAAATTCCACAACCACGCATATGAAGGACTTGACAGCATTTGCCTTGCCAAGAAACCACGGCAATTAAATTGCAATCCAAGTGAAAATTTTCAAAGACCGCAAAACTGAGACAGCAAAAGCAACAACAATAAGAGCAACAGCAACAAAAACAACATTAACAATAACAATAACAATTAGAGCAGCAACAACAAAGGCGCTAGACATCTGCCACTTGGCGTTATTTGCGTAAACAAAAGGACAAGGCAAATGTCAGCAATTGTCAGTTGGTTGGGAAAGGGGCAAAGCATGTTGAGTGTGTGTGCGTGTGTGTGTGTGTGTGTGTGTGTGTGTGTGTGTGTATGTGCGGGTCGTGACATTGCCCTCAGCACTCGATAATTAAAATGTAGCCCTTGGGTCGACAGAGGCACACACGCCGAGTCGGGTCGGTTGCCTCTGACCTAGAGAATTGACCCTCAACATAAATCTTCGGTTTGCCCATGCATTTATCAAGCGAATCGCAATTGAAATAAATTTCAGATGCATTCGTTTTTCTTGACTCTTTTCATGCACATGGTAACCCGAACTAACTGGAAACGCTGTGAATTCGCTCACCATATGCACTAAACTATGCAATAAATCTCGTGTCATACGTTTCAGAAAACCCGCAGCCCAAGGTGCAGGCCAAAAAATGTTGCCTACTTTACAGGGTTTGAGTAAATTTGGCCCAGCTGTTCCGTGTAAAGTTTAAATTGTATGCATTGAGATATATTTAGACACAGATATAGATAGATATATATATAGATAAATATATATAGATAAATATATATAGATATAAAGTTTTTTGGATATATCGATTTATATATAGATATAGATATTTCTAAATATAGATAAATAAAGATAAATGTGAGATTTATAAATATATTAAAGTTAACATAAAAGTAAACACATTTATATTGAGTGATTTTTGTCTAGTTATTTATAATATTACAATCAACATTGTGTATTCCAGTTAATAACTAAGTATAACACTGCATCTTGTTACTTTGTTAGAATTTTGTGTTGTGTTTGAGAATTGTCTGATGATGATAGGGTATTTGGTGCAACGGATATTTTGGAATCATGTATTCCATTCGCTGGTTACGTCTTAGGGAACATTCCAAGAAGGTTCGCCAATGTTTATGTTTAATTGTGTGACACTCTTCGGACCTTCCTCTTATAAATATCTCGCTTCGCAAGTCCATAAACAGTACACTAGCTTTCCACCAATTAGCAAACCCAAACGTATGCCAAACTGTTTCTCTTATATTTTCGACATCCAAGTACTTTTCAACTTTAGGTATATTGTATATAGTCGACCTACCAATGCACACGGTTCCCAGATTTTTGTTTCTATGGTAAATTTAATTAAGATCTGTGAATTACTCTGACATACGAGAAACCACTTAGAGCAGTGATAAACGATGTGGCAATTTAGAAATAGTTTAATTTCATCCTGATAGGCATTACATTATAATATATCGCCTAAGCGAACCATCATTCAGAGATGATAGACTTAATGCTAATAAAATAACTTCTTGGAGTAAAACTTTTGCATGAAAACAAGAGTATTCTATCTTCAGAGTGGCAAAAATTGATGTCTTAAATATATAAGACATGAAATGTGTATAGAAGAAATCGGTTTTAACAGCCGAGTCTCTATATAAATTAATATTTAACATTAAAAACAAAACGTCTCTATATAACAGTATAGAGTTGAAATAGGGAAAAAATAAGTTTTTCTGTTTCTTATCATATGACTTATCTCAAAGCGTAATCAATGCTCGACGTGCCGAATATAGTTATTCTCTCTCGTTTTTCTTTTGATACAAGAAATAACTATATTTTAAATAATACATACTGCGGATTGTATCGGCCCCAGACTCTCATATATGAATTCATTTTCATTCTGTGATTTATAAAGTCCCTTGGTTCCAGAGCGCCTGGTGTGGCTAAGGTTATCTCGAAATTTTCGCTATTATTTTCGTTTGGATTATTAGGATTCAAATTTTCATTGGACTTGGTTTTGATTGTCTGTTTATTTTTATTTGTCCGCCTTCTTTGGGAAGCTAAATGCAGCCGTTGCTTTTTTTTCCTTTTTGAGAGCTGTCCGTGGGTTGTCAAATATTCCATTACATTTGTTATTGGCTTATCTAACTCGGGCATTAGATCCAAGAAGACGGCCCTTGAAGCTATTTCCGGTTTGATTTCATTTTTTCGTTTGTGCCCTCTGTGTATTGGGGCCGCATCTATGCTGTCTCGCGTTGCTAACTGTAACAGGAATAATCATTCAGTTGGAAAAAAGAATGTTATTTCTTTAACTTATGCATACGATAATTAGATAAAGAATGGTCAAATAGCCAAAAAGTTCGCCTTTAAACATTTCACACAAAAGAACATCAACTACAGATTTATATACATATAAATTTATTTCCGTTTGAAGTTTATTGAAGGGAGTGTATGTTAATTTTTAATTATTAAATCTTTAATGAATCAACTATTTTTTGTTGCTTTATAACTCGGACTCAATTTTCTTTTCTTAGTATTCCAATGTTTAACAAACCCCGCTACATTAATGCTTAAAAAAAAATTGATTATCCTAGAATTATTAAGATGTTTTGAACAATAAAGAGTAAAAAAGTTTGCATCAAGCCTGCTAAACAAATCCGCATGACCTTAAAATTAAATGAGAATTGGCGATAAAGACGTTTGCCAATTGCCGTATGATATTTGAGCCATATCAATTGCATTGGCGCCCATAAATATGCAACACGATCTACGTTTGACAATCGGCGCTGGCGTTTGGCGATTCGAATGCACAAATTGGTCGGTGGCAGGTTGTTACTGCTTTCGCTGGCCTTGGAAAGTTGTTCCCGGAATAAATGGCCAGCCAATAGCTAAAGCAATGGCAGTTGCACGTGCCACATGCAACGCATTGTTGCCACACGCAAACTGCAACTTCTGCTGCTGCATACTTTTTAATTTCAGGGTTCAAGGTCAAAAGTGTATCTATTATCTCGTATCTATTTTTCTCTTACTGTAAGCCTTGCCCGGCTGATGGGTGTCGTTGCGGCAGCTTTTAAGCAGCTTACAGGACAGCACAACAACATCGAATGTCAAAAGCATAAATATCTTATGCTAAGAAGCCTAAAAGGCAAGAATATACGCATTGAATGGTATTTGAAAGCGCCTACAAAAGCGCATAATATTAGCAAATTATAATTTTTGTTAAGCTATATATAATACATTAATAAAAGCGTTTGTCCTGATTGACTCACTGATTGAAATAATGCAAGTCCTCAGCCGTAACCACCTCGACTTTCAAAAGTGGCAACAAATCTGAAAAACATTTACAACAATAAAATTTCATGAGGCTCTGCACCAAGCTGAAAGCTACTTTAAATTGTTACATTTGTTTATTAATGATTTTGTTTACAAAGATTTAATTAGAAACAAACGAACAAATAATGTTCAAATTTGTCAATAATAATTTTAATGTTTCTCCTTTTTAGTTAATTTTAAATTTTAGTCTCATGAGTCAGTTTAGCTAAATCATGATATTCATACATTCAATAGGCAAACGAGAGAGTTATTTACGAAACTTTTTTCTACTTTTAGACGAACACTTTGTAGAATTGTATTCCAACATGATTTAGAGCTGATTTTATTTAGGTGCCCAGATAGAACTTTTTTTTAACAAATGAATGCAGTCGAGCTACAAATAGCCACACACACCGAGTGTATCTGAAACCCCTTTTTGGTTGCCAAGAATTGCATTACATTTTGGCTACCAAGCCAAAAACCCGGCAACATAAATCAAAGCCATCATGAAGAGCCGCCACCCTCACTGTGCAGTCTGAACTGCATTTTTCCGAGTCGAGTTTTGCCCTTTGCTCACACATGTCTGGTTCCATTTTCCTTCATCGTGTTTTTTTTTTTTATTTTTTTGTATTTTGTGGGACAACATATTTCACCTTATGCACAGAGAGAACACTCAATTACCACTTAATGTCCGTACTTCAGCACAATTTACGCAAACATGACGTAGCCAAAAAAAAATATATATATATATATATATATGTAGGGAGCAGTGGGAGATACGACTATGGCAGGCAACTGGGTGCAACAACAACATCAACTGGAAAACATTTTGTTACAATTTGTAACGAGTTTTTTTTATTTTCTGTTATCGGGCACAAGAAAATTGCCCAACTTGTTCTCGATTTGGATTAGAGTTTTCGCGTGATTTTCGAGCATTAAGAGTCAACACAATTACAGTAAATATTGGCCAAGTGGAAAGTGAAACAAGCTTTGTGACGTCCAAAATAGGTATATTTCATATGCGCTTTATTTGCTTGCAAGGCACTTGGCTACAATAAGAAGAGCTTTTAATTAAGTTACTTACTAACAATGTTCCCTTAAGAGAGGTATTATAATTGTTTTGAAATAAATAAATACATTTTTCATTAAATAGTCAAGTTCAAGTTCAATAAATGTTAAGTCAAATTAATTAAGTTATGTTCTCCAACACTTTTGACACTAATGATTAACTTATTTACACTGCTACCGAAACAATGTCAAAGTAAAATTATGGAATATTTGATATTGTTTTTAAAGACATTGTTGAGCCATAAATAAATAAATAACACATACTTCAATATGCTGGGGATTAGTTATATTCCATTAGTTATCAGTTTTCACTGTGCACACACAAAAACTGTCTTAAGCTTTTGATTTAAACTGTGCTTGTTTTTTGCATTGTGGCCATTGATGGTGCTTGTCATTTGTTGGGCAGCGTTTAAAATACGCCACTCCCCCCATAATCCGCACCCATCACGCTTTTACTTAAGCCGCAAATTCGCTTGACTTATGTACACATCGCAGTCCTCTTAGCTGCATATCGGCTGCATGGTTGGGGTTTTAATTGTGCTTGCAGCTGCTTTTTAATTAAATCAGAATAGGGGAAATCAATTTGGCTGGCTTAAGTCTAGCGAATGTCAGCTTTCATTTGCCAGACAGCCTTAGTTGCCAGGCATACAACATGAAAGCAACCCCTCCACCCGACCCGCTTGACTCATTAAGGCGTCAAACAATTTCCCCCCGATGGAAGTTTTCGTCATTGCCACCAAGGCTCACAGACCAACTATTTTGTTAAGCCAGGTGCTTAGACTGCAGCTCGAGTAGCTGTCAGTGGCATCCTTGAGGCATCTCTGAGAATTCTGGCATTAAATCCCAAGCACTTGACAATTCCCTTTGGTTTAGTTTAGTTTCACAAATTTGCCATTTGTTGCTGTCACACAACTTTCGTAAAACCACTTTGAAATGTTTTTTTTTTCTTCTGCTAGCTCGAGAAATTAGTTAATGGCGCTCGCTCTAGCATTTGGTGCGCCTCTTTGCCCACACACAAATTTTTAGCATTTGCTATCATAATAATATCAAACCCATTGAAAAAACAACCGTTTTTTTAGCTCATACACGTGGGCAAACAATTTGCAGCTGAAAAACATTAGTCGAGCAGAATTTCGACATTTTAGCTAATGACAAAACAAGCGCACAGATAAATATGCCAGATATATTTGCTGATGGCTATACAAGATACTGAACTAAACATATATAAAGACGACTTCAGTTACAGCTTTATATATATATATCTATATATCTATCTATATCTATATATTACAGATATTATTTATATAGTTATCTAAACATTTAGAGATACTCAGATAAAGATGCGTAATAATAAAATATAAAAAAATGTGTTACTAATTTCACTTCATACTTTAAATAATTATGAGCTTATATGAAATTCCAACACTTCAAACAATCAAAATTTATAATTGGGGCATAATTTTGTGAAATGCTCTTTAATAGGATTTTTGGGAATTATTTTCCATATTGATTTATTTATACTAAAGCGCATTACCTTAATTCTAATTACTATAAACGGATAATTAGAGTAAGAAATTTCAGTTGCAAGTGGCAACTAATTTTTTCCAGAAAACAATATAGCAATTTATTCTTATTATTTACAATTTGTACCAACTTTCACCAACAGATAAATAATTAAAAAAAAATATGTCAATTTCAAAGGAAACAACTAAAAATTGATTTCGTGTGATTATCTTCACTCATAACGAAGGCTTACGATTTTTTTTCATCATGCTGCTCGACAGCCTGCATACAAAAGCACAATTAGGCAGCGAATTGCCAGGCTTGTTTTTCATATATATTTTTTTAATAGCTAACAATTTCATGATTACAGAAATGCAAAGGAAAAACGAGTGAAAACCGCAACAAAAAAAAAATACAACAGGCTAAAAACTCAATAATTTTGTAACAGGTGTATACTAAGTTTTATATAAAAGCCCTTTTTGTGTGTCTACTAAATAAAACACATAATAAAATTTCTTGCTTTTTTTGTTATTATATTAAGCAGCTTATTTAAAGAGTTTTAAAATACATCATTCATAATAATTTAATAAATTTATATTTTTCGCAATAGCTTGTAATAAAAAATAAACTTGTTTAACAAGTATTTTACATTAGATTTATAGTTATATTCATTTGTAGCTTTATCCTATAAAAAAAATATATATAATATATGTAGGGTGTTTACTTTTGTGCACTCCAAATATTTATTTTCGTTGGCAAGCTTTTTATATAAAAAAAAATATCCCATTTGAAGGGTACACAAGTGAATATTTTGTACGACTCTTGATGTGAAGTCTGAAGGGTGTGAAGTGTCTGCTGTGTAGCAGGAAGTACGATGGCTTTTTATGCTGTTGCATAACAAGCTGCATGTGGCAAGCTGCTAGTTGTTGCAGTAGTATGCAGGAAATGGCATTAGGCTGTTGTGTTGTGTTTGTGTGTGTGTTACAAACCTACACCTGGCGTGGAAATTCGAGCTCAAGCAGCATGTAATATCACTTAGAGGCAAACTAATCCCAATGCCTGCCACAGTCACAGTCGCTGCCACTGACATCGCCAGCAGCAGTCGTGACTCCGCACTAAGCCCAAACAACTGTCGCAGCAGGCACTTGCAACTGGAGCTGAGTGAACGTTTAACTTGACCTTCCATACCCCACTGTCGAACCGCTGCATTTGACATTAGTTGACAGTTTTGGCAGCATGGTGTCGGAAAGGGGTATGTTTGTGTAGGGACTGGCAAGGGCAGGCGGTTCGAATTTGTCGGTTCAGTTTAAGCCAAACATTGATGAACAAACTGCCGCTATTCGGTATCAGAATGCTTATTAGATGCCAATGGCAGCTGTGGCAAACAGATACCCAGAATACCAGCATGTTGTAATCCACGTCTTTGGCAGGGGATAAACAAAAGGCATTGCATAAGGTAATAAGTACTTGGCATGTCGCATTGGTAAGGCAAGTGCTTACTCTACTCTATAAATATGGATAGCATTCATACAGGGTATTTGATCGGATTATGTTTGAATAGGCTCAGCGTACTCAATATGATCTATTGGAGCAATGCTTTCCTTGGCCAACTACTCAATCGGCAAATAATCAACTGGAATTGCAAAGAGATAGATAGACAATTATGACAACTAATTTAAATGACTTCTTTTAATTTTAAATTAAGAATAAGATTAAGTTAGTTGGTCCAAATATTATACACATAAAGTTAACAGAACTCTTTGTTTCCAAAGTTTGAATAAGCAAGTGGGTAATAATAATAATAATAAACATAATATTATTAGTTATAATATTAAGAAGAATAGCACTAATAATACTAATATTAAAATGTATTATAATAATATTAATAACAATAATAATAATAAACTTCTTATTAGTTTAAAGTACATAAATTAAAGGACTTGGTTAATGCCTTCACATATTTAATGATATAAAATGTGTTCCCGAAATCCCAAGAAATAATTGGAATGCATTCAGCCAATGCGAGGGCTGTTCAGGGAGTTCAAGCGGCTTCATTGTTAGCCGCATTTTGCTTTGTCGGCCTCATTAATTATAATTTCTGGCAATTAAGTGTTGCCTTTAATTGCAGTTCTTGCTGTTTGACCCACATTCTGCTATTGGCAGTCGTAGACACATCGAGGCAACTTTTTGTGCAGCCGACAAGGTGCAATCTTGGATGATGGGCTGAGTGTGGGGGGCAGATGGCTGCACTTGTTGGTGTAAAGCTGAAAACTTTGTTAGGAACGCTTCGCTCTGTATTTGATTGCCACTCCGGGCCATTGTTTTGTTTATGTTTTTCCATTGGGTGTTGTTGTTGTTGTTATTGTTTTTTGTTTGTTTGTGCTTTGATTTTGCCTCTTGCCTTTAATCGAGCGAAAGCACAAAACTTTGAATAACATTTATGAGTTTTTATTCGGTGCGAGAGTTGTGGTGCAGCTTATGGGTGTTTCCTTTGAGTTTTTGGATAAGCGGCTTAATTGATGATAATACATATCACAAATAATGTCTGTTTTTTAAGATTCAATATAATTTCAAAGTTGATCTGTCAAAACATTTCAAGATTTCTTATTTTATTGTTGGAAATGTGAAATGTTCAGATAAATATTAATATCCACAGGTTGCAACGCAAACGCAGCTTTTATTATTATTATAAAGTTTCTTTTCTTTTGTCTTACTATCTGTCCAGCTTAAATATATCTTTTTAATAAAGCTTAATGTGTATAGCTTTAAGCAGCGCTGCTAGCTGCATATCAGAATTGAGTGCTTGCAATTAAATTACAAATTAAAATATCGCCTGAAAGGGCTTACAAATATTTGAGATATTTCATTTACAAATGTACGCATATTTCAAAGCAATATAACTTTCTCATTCTGCACATTTGGTGCTCAGCACACTTTTTTTCAGAAATTTTAATATGCAACACGTTGCGCTGCTAATTATGTGAGTGCAGAAAGTGCAGGTTGTTCTTTCCCCTTCACTTCCCCCTTTACACATCACTTTCAACTCATATGTCGCCGAGCAGGATGCTTTGATTATTGCCCATTTCAGTGTTTGTTCCCCTTTGTGTACGTGTTGTAATTAATAAGGACTCGTGTTATTTTGTACTCCTATGTGGAGACACACAGGCACACACACAAAAGACCAGCAAATATAGCTATCAAGTAATTAAAGCCCCGTTGAATCGTCATGCGCTTCAAACACGCACGACTCGGTACTTTACAACTTTACGTCCAATGTTAATATTTTGCTTTCAAAACAGTCCAAAAAAGGACAATAGTAAAAATTATCACATACGCATTTGACAGTTGGATTTTACTTTTATGGGTAGTTTAAATACAAAAGCTAAATTAGCTGTTAATAAATATAACTAATGCGTGTGAACTAGGTATATACCCTGTATTTAGTTATTATATTATTGGCAAAGTTATAGAATTTTATTATACGAACAAAATACACTCAATATAAATAATAATTATTATTATAAATATACATTTCATTATTACACACATTTATTTGATTATTCTATTTAATTAACTAAGGGTTATTCTAATTTATATTTTATAGCTCAGTAAAGGGTATCTGTTAGTTTATCTCTGGCTGTTTTTGTATCCTTTATGTTCTATATAATAAAAAACATTTGCGCTTTTGACACCCTTCAGTTCTGCGTAAATATTAAAATTGTAATCGCTTATAATATTTTTATTTACTTATAAAAATTCAATTAAATTTCCGACTAAAATGGCATTCAGCTTAAAATTAAAATGACAAATTATAAGACGTGTGTGTGTTTTCAAGCATAGGGTATCTTCAAGTCAGCGTACTTAATTAAACTTTAATTAAATATGTCTGAAAACAATATCCACAGCATAATTATCTCTCAGCATAAATTAAATTATATTTCCGGCTAAAATGCTTGAAATGAAAGTTTCTTATAAAACGTTAATTTTCAGGTGCTTCAGTTCATTTTAATTATAAATAAGTGCTACACGGTTTCGGTGCCTTTCGCTGGCAACTGATTACCGCTCACTTTGCATCCACTTATTCATCTCTTTCTCTCAACTGCTCTCTCTCTCCCTCTCTCTGCTTGCAGCTGCAACGCATTATTAGTTGTTAGCATTATGAGCGTTCATAGCCTGCAGGGGATGTCGACATCGACTGCAGCCTTGCCAACATCGTGCTGGCAGAGGCAGCGGCAGCGGCTACGACGCCGGCGTCAACAGGAAACGGAAGCAGCGTCGCACAGACGAGCTCATAAACAAATGCGTCGCACTGGCAGCGCCAACATATCAGCAGCTTATGAAGATAATGATGACAACAACAACAACAACAACAACAACTACAACAACAACAACAACAACAACAACAACAGCAAGGCCAGCAAAAGCCCCACTACAACTACAAATTATAGCATTTCCGGCTTACCAGATTGCCAACAACAAAAAACGGAACAAAGCACCCATCATAAGCTAACAACTAGCATACACCCGCGCGCTTTGCCATGGCTCTTTCTGTCACCGCTCCTGCTGCTCGTACTCTTAGTTGACCGCTCTTTGTCAACGGCTGGAAATTACTCGAGCCTGGCACTCAATGAGAGCGGCATCGAAAGCACATTACCCATTAATGCGACAACAGCCATATTAGCAACAGCCGCGCCAACCGGCGGCAGCGGAGCAGCGACCACAGCTCTGGCACTGAGCGAGCCGACCACCACCGAGCAGGCGGATGAGGAGGATGCTGAAAATAGCAGCGAATATGTTTTCGATCGCACCGATGTGCGAATCATATTCATTACGCTATATACGATTGTCTTCTGCTGTTGCTTTTTCGGTAAGTACGCATTGTTGTGACACATTCGGATGTATACAAATGAATTACTTCTTTTTGACTATTTACTGCAAGACATAGTTGCTTAAATTCCAGTATTTTAAATAAGTGCATTAACTACCTCCTTCTTTCAGTAGCTTTGGCTCCTTTTAGTTGCTTACAATTCCCAAATGGTTATAGCCTCGGAATGAAGACAAAGCCTATCTAGAGTCGATAACAAAGTTAATGACATATCTAATGACAGCTTATGATAAAACCTGGAGGTTATTGAAAGAATTATACAGACAGGCAGCTCACATTACGTTTTCAGGTCGATTTCATAAACTCTTGTTGCTTGTCGAAGAATATTTCAAATTAAACCCTATAAATATCTGAAACGTATTTCTCAAATAATAAACCTTATAATTAGTAGCAGTTTTTAGTCACAAATAATAATGAAATCTTATACCTTACATTCGGGGCTGGCTGTGGCTCAAATAAACTCCAAGGCTAATATTAGCTTTGTCCATAGACTCTCACCTTCTAACTCAGTTGGCTGTTACCTTTCATTTTGTCAGTATCCAAGCCAACAAAAGCAAATTGGCCAGCTCATGGTTCTGTCATTGATATATTATTATAGTTATATATATTATTTAGTTGCCTTTTGTCTTCCTGTTTGTATAGTATCTCTCTTTCTCTCTTTTCCCCTCTCTCTTTTATCTCTTGGTGTCCATGTTAACTGCACACTTGCCAATTACTCAGTGCTGCTGCTGGCCATAAAAAATGGCTACAGATGTGGCTAAAGAATAAAGGACTTCTTTGTGGCTTGACCACTTGACCGACTCTGAGCTTGTGGTTTTGCGGTTCTTTATTCTCAGTTCATAAGTTAAAAGTTGTTGATGTTGCGGTTGTGCGGCCTGCAAATCTATCGCCATTTAATGCAAATAACGGCAAATGTAGAGCTGTAGCACATATCTTAAATTCTGCTTTTCTATTTTTTGATCAATTTATGCATTAAAATCTTTAAATAGAAACTATTTGTGCAAGGGATTTACGCAATTTTATGATACATCAAATCATATAAATATATATTGTTGACGCTGTCCACAAAATGTTTTCTAAACATCGGATCCAATCGTCAAACGCACACATCAGCTGTACAAATTTATATTCATCTTTTACATCAAGAGAAATATTTATATTTAAGCTGTCGTGAGGGCATATAATAAGCGGCATCGCACGGTTAATTGTTCCTTTTTTGAACATATGTTTATTTAAATTGTGGCTAAGTTAATTCAAAAAAGCTTAAAAGCAAATGCAATGCCATTAAATTAAGCGTTTTGTTTGACAATGCGACAACTACTGTAAATGGTTGCCAGGCTGCAGCGACCCCGGGGGTACAGCAATTAGTGGCAACTGGCAAATACACACACAAACACACACACACACACACACACACACTGACGCCTATCGGAATGTAAAACAACGCGGCTAAAGGACAATAAAGTGTCGTGTCATCGCATGAACAAAAACAATGCGTGCTATGGATATGGCTGCAACTTGCAAATTGCATGGCCTAATGTTTTAATGATGGGCACACTCAAAGCCCTCACGCACCCAACTGTCCCCTCCACAGACAAACTTTATCCAAATGTTTTTGGTAGCTGTAGAAGCAGCGAAAATGCTTTCATTCAAATCCAAGCCAAAAAAGATAAAGTCGAAAACCAGCCGAAAAACATAAATTCCAACAAGCAGTTAGCGCGACATAATTATTGCTGTTACGCAGCATTGCTGGCGCTAAAATTTTCAAATGAAACGCGCCAGATCAACCAAATGCCTATTGAGTAATTTATGCAATCAATTATAATGAGCTGTCACACGAGGCGTATACGCGATTTCCCGACAAGCCCGTTCGTGTTTTCTACTTTACAAATTATTTATTTAACTTGCATTAAATTGCATTCAAAATTAGGTTGGTCAAGCTGAGGATTTCAATTAAATTCGCTTATTTTGTATAAAATACTTTATTTGTGTTTATACCACATTTTTAAATTTCCGAAATTGAAAAATATTAAAATCTATTCTATTATAAGAAAAAAAAATTTGTTGTATCAGCTCACATTTTGTTTTTGAATAGTTCAACTCGGAGTATTTTTGAACAGACTTTGATAGTTTCTATGTTCACAGCTGCAGAGATGCTAGAAGGTCTTTATTTTTTTTATTCATATATTTGATGTATTAATACAGTTTTAAATCGTTTATTGCACCGACTGCAAAGGCCTTCTCTTGCTAACAATTTCAAGCTCCCAGGTCTTCGATTTTCCATTTCTTAATAGGGACTCCTAACATTCCTTTATTTGAATATAAAATGCACAGCAGGAAATATTAGCGTCTTCCCTTCCCGTCTAACATTTTCTGGAAGTGTACTTGAAGGAATTGGTTTGCAACATGCTGTAACAACTCGACACTGACACATATGCACACACACACATCCACACACACATGCTGACAAGCACACGCTCGCAACAAAACACAACCCGCTGCTAGCGAAACACACATCAACCTAGGCAACAATATTTAATAGTCCGAAACGCAGTGGGCCAACAATTGTGGCCAGAATTGGCTGGTAATTTGAACCCTGAAGGCCAAGGCCAAGGCCAACGCAAAGTGTTAGCAACTGCGGTTAAAGGCATACGAATCGTATCTCAGTCACCAAGGCTGCCAGAGCTGTAGGAAGCCCATAACTGGATATTAAATAACAATATGTTATATAATTAAATGCACTTGATGCGTCACAACATTTTGAATTATGTTACTTTATGCAACCACTGCAGTAGAAATGTCCTCTAATAATATTATTTGTAATATTCAATATTTGCCTCCCTTTCTCTCTCACTCTTTGTGTGACTCGCTCGCTCACACTTGCTGTGCACACATTGCGGTTTGGCGTGCACTCGAATTGAAAAATGTAAACAATTACAAATATAATGTAAATTTGAAACAATTTGCGACTAGTTGAAACACCCGCTGCTACTCGTAATAGCAGAAAACATTAATTAGAGCTCAGCCAAAAGTCCATAAATTTTCCCAAATATATATTTGCCGAATATATGCATTGCCCTCAATCTCATAAACCAACAACAGCAACCAGACACAAAATATTTTATATATATATTTATGTTCATTTTTTTTTCTTTTCATTATGGCCTCAAATATATGTAATAATTATTTGTTGGCACACACATGACAAGCACAAAAAAATAAAAGAATAAAACAAAATGTTTTTCAGCCGAAACTTTTTTAATTACTTCAAACAATTCCGAACTCACAGCGGAACAAAGCCGTACAAAATATTCTCAAGGCTGAGTACCCAGCCCGACCCCTTAACTGAAGGGTTATCCAAATGTAAAGAAGGGACTAATAAAGGCCGTGCCGGAAATCCGCTTGATACATGTGCTGCAAAGTTTTACTGTTTGCGCTCGTTTCATTTGTTCAAATATACAAGAAAATGTGAAAATTATATTGCAAAAGAGGAAGTATTAAGAAACACCCAAAATTTAACAGCTAATGTTAATTCATATATGCTTATATGTTTTCTCTTAAAGTTTGCTTTTTAGTTGGTTTTTTGTGGCAAATGCCGACAAATCAGTTCTGCAATGTTCTATCGTGAATTTAGGTACAGTTGTACCATAATCTGCTTTGGTTGAAGACCAATGGTATTTGTGTTCAACAAGCTTAAGACACCTTAAGAAACCTTAAATTGATTAAAAGCTGTATGCTAGAGTGATGCAGGCGTAAATGCATTTAGTATGACAAGTTGTAAATTAAACACCTTCAAATAGTATACATGATTGTGATTATCGACAATAGATAAGCTTAGGACATCTTCTAGTCAAATACTCAGTGTCTGCGGATGGCATAAACATATGAAATGAGCACAAATTTAGACCTTTTTCACACCAATAATCTGGTGAGTCTGACAGAGTTGGACATCTGGGCAATTAGCTCAACTGTCTGCACATTCTATTCAATTGTTAGCCACATATCATAGGCCCTTGGCTGCTGTCACTTAAATCCACTTGGCAGGGTTTTCATTTAATTAAGGCTAACAGACATCGAGATGGCAACACACACACACACACACATACAGGCACACACATTGCGATAGATGTGGCCTGAACAAAACCCCTAATTAAAATAAACTTTCAACGCAACGTTAAACCCAACGTCGAGGGAATGCGACGAAAATTCTCAACCAGAATGTGTATACTTCCAGCTGAAAGTTATTGCCCCCAGTGCACGCAGCCAGGCATTGAGTAAAACATTCTGCCCTACTATGAAATGAGAGCTTGTCGAGGAGCTGGGCTTGTCGCCTGGCTTGCCAAAATATTTTGTTAACATTTTTAATATCTCCCAGTTGGCTTCGGCTTTTGTTTTGCAATTGTTGCAAAAACTTAATTGACATTTTGATATCTGTTATTCTTAATCTACTTCTTCTACTGCTTGCAGGCAATCTACTTGTGATATTGGTGGTCACTCTGTCGCGTCGTCTGCGCTCTATAACCAACTTTTTCTTGGCCAACTTGGCATTTGCTGACTTTTGTGTGGGTCTCTTCTGTGTTATGCAGAATCTCTCCATTTATCTTATAGACAGGTAAGTCAAAAAGCCAACACACATTTAATGCCGCGCCTGTGCTTATTCAGCTTCTTCGGTGTTTATTTTCCGTGCTTTAAGATATTTTCTGCGCATAAAGCATTAAACAGTAAATTATTCTTGACTTGTTTATGTTTTGTGAGAGCCACAGCAGTCTCTAGCTCCTATAAGCTTCGAGATATGCTCTATAAATAAAACTTCACCTTGATTATTATCAATTTAATGGAAGCGATGCGAATTATCGAGGACTTTAAATAAGTTTGAAACTTAAATCACGCTTTTAGTCCTTCATCCTGAATGCACTTTTTATATTGATTATAGTTAATCAAATGTGTATGAGCAGGGTATCTTTTAATTCATCACTCCCAAGTGGAACATAAAGAGTTTATTTTTATTTGTTTTCTGGCTATTTATCTGGCATTTGATTTGTTGTTACTATTTTGTTATTTTGTATTGCGGCTCGTTTGCGCTCGAGACGAATAAGTCAATAATCAGCCGAGAGCAAATAATAAACAATGACAAGCGAATATACATTTTGCACATATATCATTAGAATTTTATTTTGAGTATTTGTGTGTCGGAATTTTCCAAAATCAAATAACATAAATCATACATCCAAATTTATTGACGCTCTAATGCAAAATACATTTCATTGCAATTTTTCAGGGACTTTATGAATTTATTTACTTTTAGTTGTCTCACATTTAATCAAAATAAATATTTAACATAACATGCGAATATTAGATATTGAATTATGGAAAATATATATAAAATAAATATTATATTTAGGCATTTATTTGCGCCATATGAAATTTGTGTTATTAGCTTAAGAGCTTGCTCTCATTCATTTTGTTTAAAGAAAAACTTGTGTAAAAACCGCATTTAAAATTAATTTGACCAGCAGCTGTCAACCAATTATCATATGAAAAGGTCAATTATATTATGGCCACATAATATTGTCGATTTATGCACAGCTTGGTCCCTTTTCGTAATTGGATATGCTGAGTGGTGTGAAAATTTAGTCAAATATTTAAATATGTTGATCCTAGTTATTGGCGTGGCTCATCAAAAAGTTGGCATAATTCATTTGCATAGTTATTTATTTATAAATGTTGATACTGGACATAATAAATGATTGATTGGGTTGTCCAGCTGTGGTGATATATGCAAATTATGATTAAATAATTTATTAAATGTATATACCGCAACAAAATATGTCAGGCAACTGTTAGGCACAGCTACCATTGGATACACTTTAATATTAAGGCTTAATGTATTTATCACATTTCAAAGCAACTCTTCATATTGAATTGTGAAATGAAATCCCAGCCTTTACGGACCAAATACTTTTAAGGCTCACTCATGCTTCTAATGCAGGTTTAAGTATCTCAAGATTTTTATATCATTCTCAAAAGACTTCATCAAATGCCTGCATTTTAATATCATGGACAAAAAAGCAAAGAAAATACATGAAAAACGTGTCACGTATATCGAACAACAAAAGTACATCAATTTCCTCTTCCGGCAGAGCCTTTAACAACACCCTCTCCCCCTACCTTCTCAACACTCCTGTCAGAGCCGCAGGTCGCACAAAATAGAATTACTTGTTAATCCTCAAGCACAATGAGCCCAAGGCTTTAATTTCAGACCGAGAAATGCAATAATAAAAATAAAGGCCAAGTGCGAAAATCTCCGGCAACCTCTAGTAAAAACGACACCTTAATGTGGCATTACTTTTTCCGACATCTCAAATAGAATTTGTGTTGGCAGCTTTTTCGCTCGTTTACATTAGATTATGTCTCGAAATTTGAGGAGAAAAATAAGATGTTTCAAAATGTTTATATTCACATTATTTTTGCAATTCTTTTCAGCTGGGTCTTTGGCGAGTTCCTATGCCGCATGTATCAATTTGTGCACTCGCTCAGCTATACGGCATCCATTTTCATCCTAGTCGTTATCTGTATGGAGCGTTACTTTGCTATTGTACATCCAATAACCTGCAAACAAATTTTAACAGCTGCACGTTTAAGGGTAAGTCATCGATCAAAATCGATTTCTAGCACAATTCTTGGAGACAATGTGCTTATAATATAAATGTTAGAGAAACTCAAACTAATAATCCCGTTTATCATACTTAGATTAAGTTAGTTTCACTTGTCTGATAGTTTTTCCAGTTCCATTCCCAGATCGAAAACTATCGTTTACTATGGCTTGGATATAAGACAGCTACTTTAGTTCCTTACTATTAATCGATTTCCAACAGCATTTCTTGATATAAAGTACATTGAATTAACAGTTAATGAGGATCTCTTATACCATATCTTTATATTCTGACATTTTCATGGAAATAAGTTATAACTATTATTATTTCTTAAAGCACTGTGTAACCCAAAAAAGTATTTCCAATGTTACACCTAAGCGTAGAGTCTTTTGTAGCTGCGTTCTATTTTCTTTTATATGTATTTAACTAGCTGTGCCCATCGCGACTTTGCTGCGTTGTTGCTGAATGCTCTACATGCAAACTTTCAACTCCATTTTGGTGGGCTATGCACATTGAGTACTTAGCCCCTGCCGTTTGGTCTGTAAGTTGACTATCAATCAATCAATCAATCAATCTGTCAATAATTTAGTCAATTAGTCAGGATGAACTCCCTTTTAGACACACAGTTAAAACTTATTGCAAGACTTTTTCTTGCAACTTCTATATTAATAATGGCTAAATAAGTGCAGGAATATATATAATATATATATAATCTATGTATAATATATACATATAAGTGATTATTGTAACTCATTTTAATAGATATAATTCAACAGCTCGAGTTGAAAGAGAAGAATTAAGGGCAGCTATTTTAAATTATTGTGTATAGAAATTAATCAGCTAGTTGAAGCTTGCAGAAGTTGACAGCTTAAGCAACGAACTTGTGTGTAAACAAATTATTCTCTGAAAACGAACGTACTTTAAAGAAATAAATACTAATAATAATAATAATAACAGTGAAGCTCATATTCTTGATATTCTGGAACTGTTTATATTTATTTTGACGCATGCAATTATATGCTTTCATAAATAGCGTATAATAAAATCTGCCGAATATGCATGTTATGTTATATATTTTTCAACAATATAATATTTGCATGTATAGGTTAATTGTTCTCTTCAATTTTAGGGCGTATCATCATTTGAACAGAACTTAGGGACGTGGTATAATCAAATTCCTTCCATATAATGCCCTCCCCATTGTAACCAGCAGGATTATACTCTTTATATTCTCCATTAAGATTGGCAAAACTATGGGTGCAAAAGGGCAATATGTTTAATAGCTTACCGATTGATAAGTTTGGAATACTTACTAATCAAGATTTTTGCATGAATTGAACCACCAACCGCCTTTGAACGCTTTAGCACAGTTTTTTATCCAATAGTTGTCATTGTCGCGGTCGTGGGTACTGAATTTTTGTCCTATATTATATGTCAACGTACGTCCGTTTCCATCGTAATAGCCGCCATTAAATTCGATTTGCTGTAACTCGTAATCCGTATCCTCGCTGCCAACAAGAAATTTGGAAAATGTAATAAATGTAGTCCGAAAAGTGAAGGTCTCCAAAAAAACAAGCAGCTCGTGCGGCTGTGCAGCAGTCATTCGGTGCAGCTTTTCCAAGCCAATAAAGAATTCTCCATTCAAATCGCCAAAGCCATTCCGATAATCGTTCCAGTTTCTATTGAAATTGACGCTGCCATCCAAACGCCGCTGAATCACCGTCCAGCCGGAGCCTTGAAAGCGAGACTCGCAAGGCGCCATAAATGGGCCTACGCCAGGCACATTTAATACCTGAATATCTGAGGAATTGCCAAAGGTAAGGCAGCTAGATGCCGCAAGTGTGTTGATTCGATCCTTGCACTCGGAAAGTTGTTCATCCTTTTGCCTAAGCTTAGCCGCGTCTGCTCTAGCTCTGACCTGTAGGTCAGTTAGCTCAATGTCCTTATTGCTGCAGGTGGTCTTATAGATCGCGATGCTATTATTTAAATACCCTATCTGTTCCCGCTGCTCGTTTAATGCAGCGACATTGCTATCGATCTGCGCCTCGTATGCTGCGATAAGATCTTTTAGTTCCTTCACTTTGGCAGCGTCCGCCATAATCTTGGACCTAAACGCAGCCACCTGTCGCTTCATTTTCGATACGTCCTCGGCTTTAACCTCGCAGTTGACAGCGTCGACATCTAATTTGATTTTAAAAATTTTGAAAATAATCAAATTTTAATAGTTTGGATAAAAAAAATATAAATGATTACATCAACAAGTTAATTAGTTGATTTATATAAAAATGCATTTACAATGTACTACGAGACGAATGTCCTCTACATTAAGAAGTCACATGACATTGCATATGCATAATAGAGCTAAAAGCACTAAAATTACCATCTTTTTCACTGTTGCTCACGTTGAGTTTAACAAGTGGTTCTTCTTGGACTGTCTGATCGTAAGTTTCGGTAATACCTTGTTCATTAACCACAATCATTTCAACTGATTGCGGCTGTTCCTCTTCAGGGATAAATTCCAAATGCGAAAAAGATTTTGAACTAGTTAAGCAAACTTGCCAGGCTAGGCATAAAATGATTATCCCTAATATATATCTCATATCGAAAAATATATATTTATATAAATGTTTATTCACTGGCTGGTAAGGAAATTACAATACGACACAAGCAAATGGTTCTACAGCTTCGGCTGACAAACTTCAACTGATTGATATCAGGCAATGCCAAAGACGAAGAAATGCTCGACGATTGTCGACGTCAGCATTTATTTCACTAAGTAAGAATGCTTGAACAGGAGTTACCCTAAACTCAGAAAAATGACAAAGACATGTCAATTAATAAGCTATGGAGTTTTTTGAAATGACTTCTGGCGTTCTGTTTCCCAAAAATGATAATGCCCGTTATTCACATTTAAGGGAGTACAGGGTATATATGTTTGTGTGCCGTACATTCAGGCTCATGATTCAAAACGATATATTCTCGTGTTTAATCGTGCCTAGGTCTTGCCATGCTTTGTACTCAATACAATAAATAAGCATATATATTCAGCTGTCGATATTGCTTAAAATAGTTTTTTTTATATTAATAAAAATATTTTGACCGTTTCATTTTAGCTACAAATTTACAGTGTTAAGTCTGTGTCAGCCCTTATCGTGCTGTTGATACAAAAATTATAGACTCTCTATCTCTAAATAATAAAAATGGACATTTGTTTATTTAAAGAGTTGCAAATAAATTCTGATTTTATGAGAATAATAATCTAAAGTCTTAAAACTGTAAATTATGTTATTAAACATATTTAAATTTTAATTTTCTTTATAAATTAAAATCTAAAAATATTTTAAATTTAATTCAGCTCCCAAAAGATCATTTAATTATTAATTAATTTGCAATTGCAAATTAGTAAAGATTATTTTGCTGTTCGCAGGCACAATAAAAAATTATTCATATAAATAACTTTGATATTCATTTTGACCGCAATTTGAGCGCTAATGGAACTTATTAAAGTGAGCCCAAAAAGTTTATGTGATACTAGCTAGCCAAAAGGCTTAATAAGCCATGGCAGACAAAAAAACTTTGCTGAACATAAAACTTTTGCCAGTTCGCCCGGCGGCCAGGCGAGGCGACCTTCTCAAGATCATATCGTTGGCTGGGTGGCCTGGGTACAAACATAATTATTGACCCATTTTGTCTAATGTAATTTCCCATTAATCCAAAAAATAAATAGAATTCGTGCTCGTTGACCAGGCAAATGAAGCTATTTACAAGTAAATAGGCGCTTGTTGATGTTAACAGCTCCAATTAAACTCTTGCATAGAGACTTGGACGTAAAAACGTCCAAATTGCCGCGCTACATGGCAATTTGTGTGTATATTCGCAATTAGAGAAATTGTTTGCGTGTTTGGGGTATTCGTCTAACCGACTCATCAACTCTTACAGATGGTCATTGTCACCGTATGGATAACATCGGCTGTCTACTCAACGCCCAAATTTGTCTTTAGCAAGACCATCAAGAACATTCACACCGAGGACGGGCAAGAGGAGGAGATCTGTGTACTGGATCGTGAAATGTTTAACTCAAAATTGCTCGACATGATTAACTTTGTGCTGCTCTATGTGATGCCCTTGCTGGTCATGACGGTAAGTATTCGATAATAATTCCTTTAGTTTTGAATGGAACATAATTCGCACACTATTTAATTTATGTATTTGTTAACATGCTTTTAAAATTCTCCAGTTGATCGAAAAACAAACAATTTCACATTAGGGTACATTACAATTTGAATTTGTGAGCGCTGGTCATGTGTAAAAATTCAATTTTCTATCCCAATATTGAGATGTGCGGGAAATGTAGCGTAATGTTTAATCAAACAGAACCATTTCTAGTCCGTGATAAATGGCACGCAGCACAATATTTTCATTTGCATTATTTTGTAGCAAACCTATTTTTAATCGAACCGGCCAAAACATGCCGGATTTGCCGAATCAGCTGGCTGGGTTCTGGCGAACCCCAACCAGAATCACAAAATATAAATAAAAGAGTTTCGAATTAGAAAATTTAACTTAAAATATAATATATTTAATTGTTTTATTGGTAAATCGAAAATATGCTCCGAGCCAAGCTTCGAGCCAAAACCTAGTTTCATAGCTAGATGCATAAAACTATGTTCTGAGCTTAAGACAAAGCTAACTCACGCTCATGTGTTAATTAATTTATTGGTTGGGTTAACTACTAATAATATTTATTTTATTTTTAAATATGATCTACACTTTTGGTCGACAGGTTCTATACAGTAAAATAGCCATTGCATTGTGGCGCAGCTCGCGTGGTCTCAGCCCGCATGTGACACAACATCAACAGCAGCAGCAACAACAACACCAACAGCAACAACAACAGGCTATCCAAGAGAATAGCATGAGTCTGCACAACAGCATGTACCATCATCATCATCATCATCCACAACATCCACACCACCATCAACTCCACCAACAGCATCAGTTGCCAGCGTCGGCGGCAGCAGCAGCAGCGTCGTCGCTAGCTTCCGGCAGCAGCTCCACGTCCTTGTCACGTAAACATAGCAGTAAATATGAAAAGCGTGGAGTCAGCATCACCGAGAGTCAGGTGAGTCCTGCAACAACAACAACTGATTACAGGTGTGCCACATACCAAAACATAGCGAATGCCCCAGAGCATATATATCTATATGCAAAAGATAGAATAACTAATCCTAATGTCCTCGTATATATTTAAGATGAGAAAAAATGCTTTGTGCATTGTGCTCAACCCTGAGCAATAAAACTGCATAACAACTTGAACACTACCGAAGACCTAAAGTTTGCCATAAATTTTAATCAGACTAGGATAGGGAAGGTTCTGCAAGCATCTTGGAACTATTTTCAAGACTCGCAATCTTTTTAAATATTTGGGCGAAATGAAAATTCATAAATCTATTATACGACCAGCATATATGTTTTATTTTGTAGCTGTTCCGGAAATAGCGTTTTGTTAAAAATTATTAGAATTCTAAATTTTCGTCCGAAATGCGATTAAATGAGTTCAAAAGTTGTGGTTGTCCATTACATCTCGCATAAATTGGATGTATTTAAATTAATACGAAGAAGAAATAGGATATTTGTACTTTTGAATCAATTGAATGCGTTCAAGCAAAACATAAAAGCTTTTTATCGAGCAAAGTGCTTCAAAGTTCTTCGGTTAAAATACATAAAATACTTGGAGAACAAATTTTAGTTAGTCGTTTAAAACTCACGTTGCTTGGCTTTCAGTTTGAGTTGCACTTTGTCTGGTCAAGTTGGTGTGTTTCAGCTGTTGGCAGCTAGAGTAAGTAAGTAAGTAGCTCGCTGTTGCTTATAATAGCTAATATTTGCTGAAGTTGAGCGAAAGGCTATCGCAAGTTTGCGCTGAAATTGCAATTTGGCCAACTTGGACGTTGCCTCCACCTGGCTGCCGGGCTGCCAAGCTGCCGGTGTGCCGAGCAGTCAGTTTCACGGCAGCAGCTGTCAAAGCGTATTAGAAAGTATCAGTGAGCATGAAGTTCAAGTGAAATATCTAGTTTTTAGCAACTGCATTGAGTTGGCAGCAAGCTGGCGGCTCATGCGGCGTATGCGCAATATATCAACTTGCCACTTACTTAACCCCAATTGACAGCCTGAACAGGTATCTGGCATTGAGTTGAGCTGAAGTAATGATTATTCGTTTATCCACAACAACTTACAATATGGACACATCCATCAGCTACATCACCTGCCCTTTGAAGTGGCTCTAATCAAGTGAAAAATGTGCGCTAAGAAAAGCAGTTGAGAGTATACGTTATGTGTTCTATGTGTGTACTCTAATGATTTATGAACATAAATTTGTTACCGAGCAACGGTTTGGTAGCTGGGGGTAAATCACTTAAGTGTCGTGCACAAAGCATAACCTCAATAAAAAGGGAAGCTATTTTGAGTGCTGCGAAACCAACGTAATTTATAAAGAGTTTATGTAAAGTTTTTACATGCATACTCTAGTAGGATAGGCGATATTTTATTAATATAAATGTTAATTTGAATATTAACTCTGCTAATTTACAATAATAACATTTCTTCCCCAATATTTTTGTATAATTAATTTACTCTACGCCTTTTTATGACCTTAATCCTAAGCTAGCTGTTTAACGCTCTTTGTGTTTCAATGTTCTTTCTCTCTCTCTTTTTCTATCTCTAAATCTCACGCTGTCTATATGTGTCTCTCTCTCTTTTTCTTTTCTGTTTTTTGGCTTTTTATTTTACCACTAACAACAACAATTTTTTTTGGCTCCCCACTAACAATATCACAACGACAACAACAACGCAATACACAACACACACAAAAATTAGCTTGATAATTGCAAGGTGGGTATGTCTGAATAGTCCTTAAGCCAATGCCAAAACGCTTTAAGCTCTGTACTGCACAGACTAACTGTTAATCGTAATGCCTAATGCTATAACATCTATTACTCATGCAGGTCTCGCTGGAGGCGGATCGGCCCATTGTGAGTGCTTGTCGCAAAACGAGCTTCTATCATCACTCCCACTCGCACAATCAACGACAGGGCAATGGTGGTGCCGGCGGAGGTGGCGCCACACACATGTCACATTCATCGAGCAATGTGCTACGCGCTCGCAGGGGCGTGGTCCGCATGCTGATAATATTTGTGCTGACATTCGCGCTCTGCAATCTGCCGTATCATGCGCGCAAAATGTGGCAATACTGGTGAGTACACAGTAACAAACAATTAAAGAATATATGTATATGAAAGCATTTCGACATTTCTATGAAAAACTTTAAAAATGTTCGTCAATTTCAAATATACTTGAGTTAGAGAGTTATAAAAATCAGAGCTCAGCCTGATTAATGACAACTGTGAGTTGGGCGATTAGCTGCTCCTTTTTATATTTGAAATATTAACAAAAATAGTTAAATGAAATTGAAGTTTAAAAATTATTATAGTTAAAAAAAGAACATCAGGGCACGTTTTTTTGCTGTATACTAGGGTCGCCAGTCAGCGCCCTTGTCTTTTCCATTATCATCATCATCATCATCATCGTCAACATCTTCGTCGACATACCGCCCATCAGCGCCATTTTATGTTATGCAAACAGTTGAGAGTCATTTGCATATAGCGTGCCCATCTGCTGTGCCGTAAATAATACTCCTACTTGGCCATGCAAACAATTAAACTGTCAATTGAAGTGGGACTGAAGCGCCAGACTGATTGCTAAAGTGCTTCTGCTCCCCCTCAGCCACAATTTTGCTCTAATTGTTATGCAGAGCTCGTCTTAATGTTTTCCATACAGTCCGTTGCTCCAATCGAATATATACTTCAACACTCTCTTAAGAAATTACTGACCAGAACTCTGAACTTCAGCATAAATTAGGCTGCTTACCAATAGCCTAACCGAAAGTAAGCTTTAGCAATTCTTATCTTTTCCGTTGCATTAGTTTGTATTGAATATTGGCCAAATAACAGAATTAATTTCTGTTGCAAGCTTCGAAACTAATAACAATATATTCAAAAATATTTAAATCATGAAGATGAAATTAAATGTTATTAAACATTTTTTAATTATATTATTTATCTTATTATTTATTATTTAGATATGTCATATAATTAATATTGTATTATTTTCCAAACTCTTTAAAGTGGTGTCCAAAAAGCTAATATACTATCTACAAATACACCTTTAACACCTGTCGTATTTAAATTATAAATTGTAAAGTGTCACAAGTCCTGTCTCGTCTGCCCAGAATGCTGTCAAACACAGAACCAATCTCCATTTGGTGTCAGCTCTGGTATCAATCAATTGGGCATTCAATATGAATTATTGCTTTAAATTTGCTTTTAAGGGAATTTTTGTGATCACCTTGAAGCTTGCTGCCAATTTATTCCATTAGCAACAATTATTGGGCATCACATGGCAAATAGTCTAATAAAAAAAAAAATGGTAAAGGTCTGCTCCTGTTATTGTTTCAACCTCCGCTCGACCCCAGCTGTTTTTGTTTGGGTTTTCCTTTTACTTGCTTTTATTTTTTTGCTATTGGCCTTTGGTTTTTTGTGGGTCTCGTTTGATTTTCCCATTATACGACAGCTTATGGTCGTTTGAGTGAGGGATTCAGTGGCCAGTGGCCAGTGGTCCGATGATTGGCTGCATGGATAGCAATGTCATGGCAGCTACCCAGATGATTCGATATAAACAATTTAACGCCCACAGACTTGGTGGCAGAGTCTTAAAAGTCGCACAGAAACAAATAAAAAAGCGAAATGGAAGCAAAATTGAAAATGTGAAATGCCAAGAAGTAAACATTTATCAAAGCATGATTTAGACAGGCCAAGTCCAGATATATCTCAATTATTTTTGCTGACACGACACGTTGTGAGTACTCTGGCTGAAATTCGTGCATTGTTTTTATGTGGCAAACGAAAATAAATAAATTTTATTTAATGCCTTTCCAGCTACATATTTCACATATTACTAAAAATGCGCGAAAAAAAGCCCCGAGCGAAAATGCATTTCAGCTATTTTGTGCCTGTTGCACTTAAAATATATTATTATATGAATTAAACTAATATTTTTGGGGAGCAAGCCGAGCAAAACGACCAGATTGTAAACAAATTTTATGAAGTATTTAGCCAAAATATATAATGTGTGAATAAGAAATTGCGTGTTTCGCAAAACGCTCCAGTTTAATAAACGTTAATAAGTAGTTAATGGCCAACATAAATAAATAATACTTATATAAATATAAATTCCAAGCCACCAATAAAAAAAACACAAATATGACAGCTTGTTAACCAGACTTTTTGAGCAGTTTATTTGACACTTTAAGCTTTAAGCTAAAATTCTTAGGCATATGAATTATCAAAATATGTTACCCTATGCGCAGTTCAAGAGATTATATTGCAACTGCACGGAATATAAAAATTAAATCGAGATCCTTATAGACATTTCCCTTTTGCAGATATATAAGAATAGTGCAGCTCGCAAATGCTGAATTTGATGAAAATATATTGGAAAGCAGAATATTTGTCCATATAAGAACCAAGTTTTCGATAGATCTTTCTTATAGCAACTATATGATTTAGTGGTCCGTGAAACTTATACATTCGGTCATTTAACATATTTTCAATATTGTAAACAAATATAAAATGGATGTAACTTAAATTTCAAAGCTTAATATTTAAGCTTCTGCCTATGTCCAAGTTGAGCTCGTACCTAGAGATTTACTAACAGGGTATTTATTGCCCAAAAACAACACAATTAATGTTATCTGCTGCCATATTAGTCTGAGTTCTGGTCATTTATATGGAGTAGCTTTAATGAACTGAAGCTTATGTAATTGTGTCATTTGGTTCATTTAATGCTGTCATGCGCTGTCAATTGCTGCGACTCATACCCAGTTTTGTTGCACGTTATATTTATATTAATGCGTTACCAGACAGCAACAACAAGACTCAGCGTGCGACCAGGCACGTGATCATTATTAGCCCAGAAAACACTCTACGAGGAAGGTCAGCTGGCTGCTGTCTATGGGCTAATGCTGGACCTGCCAGCCATTATGCCATCGCCTTATGTCGGCCTATTATAAGGACTGCACTGGGTCAGGCGAATGTTCGCCCCATGCGGCGACAGCTGGCCACCATGGCCATTGCTTCATGGGTTGCCAATTTATATTTAGACTTTATTTTGAATTTGCAAGTCAATTGTAAAAGCCACTTGACAACTCAAGTTGCGAGCAGAGTAGCAGCAGCAAAGCAAAAAGGACCTTTAAGGGTGCCAATCAGTTAGCCACACCCCCTTCGCCAGTTACACGCCGCCCATTTTTGTCAGTTGCAAGTACAGCGCAAATTGTCAACTTGCAAACAACGAAAAAAAAAACATTTTGACAGTTGACTCAAAGTTTGAGCTTTGTCCACTTGGAAATGAAAATATTGTGTATGCGACTAGACAATATCCTGCAAACCAAGCGCCCAAATGCCATACAAATTTTATGTAATATACATTTATTTATTAATTCAAAACTCAGTTTTTAATCATAAATCAACCAGAGATGTGCAACTAAGACACCCAGCATTAGAATATAAATTAGTATAGATTGGGAAATAAATCCCATATTTAATATTTGTATAATTAATTTTAATTGGAAATATATTTAACTACCCCCAAAAGTATAAAATACTTAGACATGTTATTTTAAAACAGAAGCTAAAAAGTACACACAGCCTTTGAAAGGGAATACACAAGTCGGGCAGCAGTTAAGTAAGTGGGCAGATACCTTAAGTGTTCGTTCCAGCTATGCATTCTACTTAAAGACGCCGAAAAACTTTGCTCTCCTGGAAAAGTTACGCGAAGCGTGGACAATTCCAAAGAAGCAGCTACAAATCAGTTCAAATACTTGTCAGAGTTCGTCAAATAGCTGGAAGACGAAAACAGAGAAAGAGACGAGTGGTTGCAAGTAGTGCGAAAAAACTCTTTCAGCAAATGTTCCTAAATGGAAGACTAACCCGATAACCCGATTTATTTAAAATTAACTTATATATATGATAAGATAATATGTTTAAGCAGAGCGTAGAGTGGGCAATCTTTATGAAAATCAACTTGAAAATGTTGTTTCACGAAGAGAAGACCAGGAGTGCTTTCTGGCACATGTTTATTTAGTTGCTGGTACATAAATGCTAGCTATATTTACATATACTAAGACTTAATATATATTTTTTTTCTATGCATAATTCCAGGTCACGTTCATATCGCGGTGATTCCAATTTTAATGCGCTGCTAACGCCGCTCACTTTTCTGGTCACGTACTTCAATTCGGGTGTTAATCCCCTGCTTTATGCTTTTCTCAGTCGCAATTTTCGCAAGGGCATGAAGGAGCTGTTGCTCTGCTCCTGGAAGAAGGGCAAGGGCAAGTCGTCCTCCAATTCGTCAATGCATCACAAACGCAAGGCGCTGCAGGTAAGTGCTAACACCAAATATTATCGAGTCACTTTAAGTATTTGGCATTGAGCAACACTTGGTCTGTGTTTCGACTCTCTGCAGACCCACTCGCTGCCCACGGATACCACGCACATTGGCAACGAGCAGCTATGATGCCCGAGCTGCTGGAAGACGCACTTCAAGCTCTTCGGTCGTCGCTCGTAGAACCCATCGGTGGCCGCTCGTGCCGGTCGCATCTAGCGGCAATATTATTGTGATTCTCTAAGAAGCCCCATTGCTTGGTTGGATTAGCAATTAAAATTACGAATTAACTATCCATAGTTTTTTTATTATCATTGTCATTGTTGTATGATGAGAACTAAGCCAATTTAAATAGCCGCATTCGTTACAGGCTAAAACGAAAAGCTCTTTAAGAACCTGGAGAAACTGCTCTATAACTCGTAATTTATAATTAAATTATTCTATATCTCGGCACACGCTGCGTGTGCTTATTTATAAATGTAAGAAGTCATGTTTAAAGTGATACAAACTATACGAATAAATTAGCTACAATTCAAAACAAATGTCAGTTTCCAGTAAAATTCTACTTTTACAATTTGCCTAAAATTTGCTTTGAGCATTTGCTATTCTTTTTAGTTTCATTAGCTTCACTTTCAGCGCCTAATTACACTATTTATTTGACATAGACTTTGTTTACAAATCTTTTGTGGATTGATTATCCTTCATAATTTTATTCATTTGCTTCGGCTAATTAAAATATTTATTATTATACCCTGAACCCATTAAAAATGGGTATAAGGGTAACAGGCAGAAGGAAGCATCTCTAGCCATGTCCGTCTGTCTGTCCGTCCGTCTGTCCGTATGTATGAACGCAAGGATCTCAGAACATATAAGAGCTATAGACTTGAAATTTTAGATGTAGGTGCTCCTAGTGCCTGGGCAGATCGAGTATGTTTCAGATAATCGATATCGATATCCTGTTTTTTGGGCAATTTTGGTAAATAATAGGAGCTTAAGTCCTCAAACTTGACATATAGCTTCTTAAATAGAATATATATATATGCATTTGATGTTCGAAGAAGAGGGTTCCGGGTATACCCTAGTCGGGAGCTCCCGACTAGAATCTCTTACTTGTTTAACAATGTCTTTGTTTTCAATGCAATAAACATGATATAAAACATATATGGAACAGAGGTAAGCTCCTAGTTTTTCTTGAGCTATTTCGTTTAAAACTTGATTACATTTTGAAAGCTCGTGGGGCTTATTATGTTTATAAAACCCCTTATGGTCCTTATTTGTATAATTAGATAGACAGACAGACATAAATGCCACAAAGCAAACATTCCAATTTTTCTTATAGCAAGACAGCGTACAGAAGAAAAAAAAGAAACAAGATCAAAGCTAAATGTCGAGTGCCGCAACAAAATTGAATAAAATGCACAGTCTACGCCAGATACGTGCCACAAGCAGCTTAAGAGTTAACATAACGATTTCAGTTACTTGCCCAACCGCCCACATGCCATTCGGAATTGCAACTCACGCGTTCGTTGTATGTAAACAGCGCCAGTTGGCAACGTTCGGATGGGGCTCAAATTGTTTTTGTTTAATTTAGACTCGATTTTGCATAATCAGCAGCTTCAAATTGCGTTTGCAATTTATAATATTTGATTTCGATGCCGATTATCGATCAAATTCGCTGACAACTGCATTTCACGGCCGATTAGAGGACTTTTACAGCTAAGGCTGCTAAAAAATATAGTACGTTAGCGCTTTAAAACGCTTCAAAATCTTTTTCGCTTGCTTTTTTGCGTTGGCTCTCGAGTTCATCATTTGTCAACTGGCGCAGTGCATCCGCCAAGAGCTGCTCGAGAGCACAAAGCGAATTGCTAAAGAAACTCAATTACCAGGCGACCACGCCTTTGCTGCAAATTAAAACAACGAAAAAAATCTGCAATGAAATTCCGTGCAAAAGTGCAAAAAAAAAAAATTCGCCAACTGAAGCACTTGTTTGTTTTGGCCATTTGTTAAGTCGCGTTGGCGGCCTTTGTTATGCAAAAAGTGACCATAAATTGTGTCAAGTGGCGGCGTCGCTTGCGTCTCCTCAAAGGATCTCAACGTGGGTCAGTTGAGCGTACAATTTCTCATAATTAAAAGCAAGTTGAGCGGCTGCTGCGGATTGGCATAAATCACAGTAGCTGCCGCCAAATGGCGCTCAAGATAAGCTCCCCACGATATATGCAAACCTCACTTGTGTGTGTGTTGTGGATACGGGCTTCTGGGTGGCTGGAGCCTGCCTGTTCAGCTTTCAATAACTAAATAAAGCCCATGCAAAAAACATAAATCATACGCCCAGTGTACGCTTGTACAACGCTGGCAACATGTGCTCAGCAACATGTGCCCAGCAGCATGTTGCCCTAGTGCTTGTCTACTGTTCGCAGCCAAAGCCTGCCTCCATACTCAGCCTACTGCAGGGAGATGCCAAAAATAAAAATGTGAAAAAATGATTGAAATTAAAAAATTCAAGTAACAGGCGAGCAGCCAACGACAGCAGCTCGACAAATTGTCGAAAGAGCCCGAGCCGAAAAGCTTACGGAAACTGATGAAAAATGTTTGTCATGTGCGTGCGAGTGTGAGAGAATGTGTGCGTGTATGTGAGTGTGGAAATCCTTGATGCGTGTGCGTCTTTGTGTGCGTGTACAACAGATAGTCACAGGCAAAAGAACAATAAGAAATGAGACAGCTAGACTAGGAAATACCCTTTTCAAATTTATCTATATGTTAAGGAAGACAGTTACTGCAAAGCTTATGATTATTCTCAAGTCTATATCTTTCCCCTCAACTATGATGCAGTTTCTTGATTTCTATTGCTTAAACAAATTTCGCGGTTAATTTAACTCTTGTATATGACAAAAAATTAAATTGATATTTGACAAATATTTGAATTTATTTACTATTTAAATCCATATAGAATACAATTTAAAGAGCAATCATTTATTTTTGAAGTAATTGAAATACCTTCTTCAACCACTTCTGCAGGCCGAGGGTATTAAAAGAGTAAAGAGTTTTCCTCCCGTTGCAAGTCAAGTGCGAGCTGAATGGCAATAACGAAAGGCTGCTGAGCATCAAGACTGGCAAACAGCAAGTGTAGCAGGCGAATGCTGCACACACGCTGGTTGTAGTTGCACAAAATCCAGATTGAAGTTCTGGCCCAAAGTGTCTGTCTCGCTCGTCAAACTAGTCCGCTTCCTTGCGCATCTCTCTCTATCTCTCTCTCTCGCCCTCCTTCTCTTGCCCTCTGGTTTATTCAACAATTATAAAGCAGGGCTGTAAAATGTTGCTCGTTTGCTGCCCGGACCAGTGCTTGGGTAATGTGTCCACCTACGCCAGAGTTACTTTGTCCTACGTATTATATTTTAATTTATATATAGCCAGCGGGCAGTTAATGCCGTGGCAAGCACATGCGCCACAACTCTTGCCAATTGTATGTATGATGACGCAAAACGGGCTTCCAATTAAAACGCCAGCATCTGAGCTATTTGAATATGTTATTATGAAGCGTTGGCCAGCGCAGTTTCCACCAGCAGCTAATTATTAATTCTATTTTGTGTGAGTTACCTCCGTCAAAGGATTAAAACCCATTCAAGTAGAAAATCGCACCAGTCAAAGAAGTCAATTGCAACAATGCCCCAGCCATGCATAACTGTGGCCGCTCACTCGGCGTGTCTGCGCCCCAGTAGTTGGGACACTAAGCCGATTAGTTGTATAAAAACAGAGCTTGCAAAACCGTTTCAATTGGAGCAAGTTTAACAAATTCAACTAAAAAAAAAAAAAAAAAAAAATTACCTAACAGATTATGGCAATTAGCTGGGCGAGTTACAAAACGAGCTTAGCTTAGTTTAAATACCGGTTACGTAGCGCACATGAGTGTAGGCATGAGTGTGTGTGTGTGTGTGTGTGTGGGTGTGTGTAAATGTGGAGGCTGTATAAAACTTTGAAATTATTAATTTCTATCACAAAGGAAATCCTTTTCAGCTAAGAGCAAAGCTTAAAAAAAAACTAAGCGTCGGAGTTCGAATCGCAGTCTTTTCTATGGTCAAGTTTCGTCTTTGCTGCAGGTCTTAGTAGCCAGTGCGTTTTATAATAATTTTAAAAAGGATTCTTTTATAATAAAAATAATAATAATAATTATCAACCTGCCCAATCCGGGCCCTTAGAATGTTCACAACAGTTGCACATCCAAACATTGTGAATTTCAAGCTCGAAACACATTGGCTCTATAGGAAGAAGGAAGAATCGCTCGAGTAGCCTGCTCTCTGTATAGTAAAATTTTATGATTTTCAAGATATTATTACCAAACGCATCAATTACTTTACAACTCACCGTACATTTCTGTATTAACGTAAGACATATGCTAGTAAGAGTTTTTAAAGTTCGGCACGCCGAAAAGAATTGCTCTTTCTAGCTTTGTTTTTTTTTTTTTTTTTAACGACTTGCAGTCGTTCACATTTTAAGCATGTTTCGATTTATTTATTTATTGCAAGGTTTTTTACATCATTATTTAGATAATGCAACATATGCTCTTTATCTCGAAGAGTAACAGAGCTCATATCGAATGCGACGTGGAATGTGGTCTGCACTCAAGGACGTTACGCGAAATATACATAGATGAGATGCCGAATAATAATATAAGTATACTAAAGTTTACACAAATAAGCATTGAAAGGCTGCAATAATTTATTTTGTATACAAAAAACAAACGATTAGTAACAGAGCTGTAATCATATATAACCCAATTTGACTCGGTGAAATTAACATTTTCTGTTAATAGGTTTAAAAATCGTATAGAATTAAAAAAGCAGGCATACTTTTGTTCGCCTTAATTATTAACCTTAGCTTCAAAAAAAAAACAACAGATGGCGCAATTCTGTTAAACATATTTTTAATTGTACATACTTTTGTGAGCAATAATAATTAAGCTGTCGAAAATACTACTGCATACTTTTGCGCTGCCACATAAAAAGCTACTTTACGCCCCACGGCTGAAAATTTACAAGTCCTGGATTCTTAGATGACCCCCTCATCTGTTGATGCAGTTTTATGAAACTAGTTGTTACGATCCTAACGCACCAAGCTTTTCGAAAATCTGCAAGGATATGACTGAGCTATGGTTATTTTTCTAAAAATGATGCCATTATTATATCTTCAATAGCTTTGCCGTTTTAAGTACCATCCTGATGCCGTTTGGCAAACAGGAAGTAATTTTCCGTCCAATTTAGAATATACAACAAAAAGGACGAAAGTCCTTTTATGAGCTGAGAAAAACATACAATTGTGTATACAGATAAAGTATCATAACTTGGTAATATCCTTGCATATCCTGACGAATCCTGTGCCAAACGTTTTGTATGGACTAGGACTATAATCCCTCCAAAGGACATCTCGATAGTCCTTGTAGTTTCCGAAATATGCCTAATTTTCCAAAAAGGACATTTTATTTATGGCCATAACTCGGCCATATCCTTAAGGATATCGAAAGGATATACCTTTTTGAACTCGTGAGAATCAGGACTATCGACTGGCA